TCAGTTTAGTCGCTCAGTTGTGTCCAACTCTTTGCAACCCCAAGGACTGCAGCACGCCAGGCTTCCCTGTCCATCACCAGCTCCCTGAGCTTGATCAAACTCATGTCCATAGAGTCCATGATAGCATCCAATCATCTCATCCTCTATCATCCCTTTCTCTTCCTGCCTTCAATCTTTCCCAGCATTGGGGTCTTTTCCAGTGAGTCAGTTCTTCGCATCAGGTGGCCAAAGTATTGGAGTTTCAGCTTCAGCATCAGTCCTTCCAATGAATATTCAGTGCTGATTTCTTTTAGGATTGACTGGTTTGATCTCCTTGCTGTCCAAGGAACTCTCAAGAGTCTCCTCCAACACCACAGTTCAAAAGCATCAATTCTTCTGTGCTCAGCTTTCTTTATAATCCAACTCTCACATCCATACATGACTACTGAAAAAACCATAACTTTGACTGATAGACCTTTGTTGGCAAAGTAATGTCTCTGCTTTTTAATATGTCATAGCTTTTAATATGTTCATAGTTTTTCTTCCAAAGAGCAAGCATCTTTTAATTTCATGGCTGCAGTCACCATCTGCAGTGATTTTGGAGTCCAAGAAAAGAAAGTTTGTCACTGTTTCCATTGTTTCCCTATCTATTTGGCATGAAGTGATGGGACCAGATGCCATGATCTTAGTTTTTTGAATGTTGAGTTTTAAGCCAGCTTTTTCACTCTCCTCTTTCACTTTCATCAAGAGGCTCTTTAGTTACTTTTTGCTTTCTATCATTATGGTGGTGTCATCTGCATATCTGCGGTTACTGATATTTCTCCTGGCAATCTTGATTCTAGCTTGTGCTTCATTCAGCTTGGAATTTCACATGATGTACTCTGCATATAAATTAAATAACCAAGGTGACAATATACAGGCTCGATGTACTCCTTTCCCAATTTAGACCATCCATTTTTCCATGTGCAGTTCTAACTGTTGCTTCATGACCTGCATAAAGGTTTCTCAGGAGGCAGGTAAGGTGGTCTGGTATTCCCATCTCTCTAAGAATTTTCCAGGATTTTTTGTGAAGTTAAAAAGGCTTTAACATGGTCAATGAAGCAGAAGTAGATGTATTTCTGGAACTCTCTTGCTTTTTCTATGATCCAACAAATGTTGGCAATTTGATTTATGGTTCCTCTGCCTTTTCTAAATCCAGCTTGTACGTCTGAAAGTTCTTGATTCATGTACTGTTGAAGCCTAACATGACGGATTTTGAGCATAACCTTGCTAGCATGTGAAATGAGCACAGTTGTATGGTAGTTTGAACATTCTTTGGGACTGCACTTCTTTGAGATTGGAATGTAAATTAACCTTTTCCAGTCCTGTGGCCCCTACTGAGTTTTCCAAATTTGCTGGCATATTGAGTGCAGTACTTTCACAGCATCATCTTTTAGGATTTGAAATATCTCAGCTTGAATTCTGTCATTTCCACTAGCTTCGTTCACAGTAATGCGTTCTAAGACCCACTTGGCTTCACACTCGTGATGTCTGGCTTTCAGTGAATGACCATACCAGCATGGTTATCCAGGTCACTAAGACTTTTTTTGTATAGTTCTTCTGTGCATTCTTGCACCTCTTTTTAATCTCCTGTGCTTCTGTTAGGTCCGCCTACTGTTTCTGTCCTTTATTGAGACCATCTTTGCATGAAGTATTCCCTTGGTATCTGTAATTTTCTTGAAGAGATCTCTAGTCTTTCCCATTCTATTTCTATCTTGTTTCTTTGCCTTGTTCACTTAAGAAGGCTTTATCTCCCCTTGCTATTTTCTGGAATTCTGCATTCAGACGTGTATATCTTTCCCTTTCTCCTTTGCCTTTCACTTCTCTTCTTTTCTCAGCTATTTGTTAGGCCTCCTCAGACAATCATTTTGCCTTCTTGCATTCCTTTTTCTTGGAGATGGTTTTGGTCATTGCCTCAGTGAGTAACAGTGCTTACTTTTTCAAACTCTTACCAATGCTAGGTATTAAGTCTTTTAAGTCAGCTTTGCCAATTGGACACCACACAGACACACACACAGATATAAACAATTGCAGCTTTAATTTGCATGTATTTAATTATTAGTAATAGTGTCTAGTTTTCCTTTTTTCTTTTTGGTTATTAATATTTATTTCTCTTTTATATTACATAATCATGTCATTTATCAGTTTTTATTTGGAGTTTCTTATCTTTTTCTTATTGATTTCTAAGAGCTTTTTATATATTAGGGACATAACCCTGTGACATGAATATTGATACTATTGTTCCCAGTTTGGTTTTGGACCTATTATATGTCTAAAATATTTTCAGTGTTCATTTGATTGTTATAGCAGTCTTTACTTTTGCTCCTGGTTTCATGTCATGCTTGACAGATTATACAAATATTCACCTATGTATTAGTCAAGTAATTTTTTCTTCCATTTTTACTGAGACATAATTAAATAAAACACTTTATAAGTATAGGGTATATGATAATGATTTTACTTACATGCATCATGAAATGTTTATCCCAGTAAGTTCAGTAAACATCTATTATCTCATATAGATACATAATTAAAGAAACAGAAAAAATTTTTCCTTGTGATGAAAACTCAGGATTTTCCTCTTTTAACAATTCTCATGTATAACATGAAACACTGTTAATTATCTTTATCATGCTTGTATTTATTTATCTTATACATAAATACATCCCATGCATTTATTTATCTTATAACTGGAAGTTTTTGACTGCATTATCCAGTTCTCCCTACCCCTACCTTCTGCCTCTGGTAACCACAAATCTGATCTTTTTTTCATAATAGTTTGTTTATGAAGTGTAATCAGCTTTCAACACTATGTTAGTTCCTGGTATGCAACATGCAAAATTTCAATATATTTCTAAATGATCACATTTCATGGTAATCCTATGAGGTAGGTTATATAATCTTATTTCACAGAAAAGAAAATCAAAGCCCAGGTGGTTTAAGTAACTTGCCCATCATCATACAGTTAGTAAATGCCAGAAGGGGGATTGAGTCTAAGTAGTCTTATGTCAGAGTACCTGTACGTAACTATTACAGCTTTCTTTTCCTACACATATCTGGGTTAGTACCATTTGGGGGAATAATGTATTTTTTTCAAATGAAGAATCACCTTTGGCATTTACCAAATGCCTGCATATTTTTTGGTCCAGGTTTTGCAATTCTTTGACTTCACATACAACAGAGACTCACCTTTACTCCTACCTGGAATCACAACTAAATGTTGCTTTAAAAAAACAAATGAGCAGTGTGTGAGTCAATTGAGCCTCATAACTGAGGACTGATCTTACAAAACTGGTAGAAACACTTACCTGAGTAGGTTTAGAGAGCGAGGGAGAAGTGCTTGAATCCTGGGCATGCCTCTGGAGGAGGAAGGGATGGTGAAATTGGAGTGAAATTACCCTGTGGGTTACCAGCCCTACACTGTAACAGTGGAGGCCCTTTCAAAGGCAGAGTGTTACTTGCTTAGTCATGTCCAACTCTTTACAATCCCACAGACTTTAGTCCTCCAGGCAGGAATACTGGAGTGGGTTGCCATTCCCTTCTCCAGGGGATCTTCCTGACCCAGGGATCGAACCTAGGTCGATTCTTACAGGCAGATTCTATACCATCTGAGCCACCAGGGAAGTCCATTCAAAGGCAGGTCTTTCTTAAAAACAGTAAGAAGAATGAAACCTGGAAAATGTGGGGATTCTCTTAAGAAGTGAGCAACTGTTTGTACTGCCACATAAAACTCTTCCTAAGGTACACACGCTGGGCACATGTCCTGTTTCAACAGCTTCTTTCTTTAAAATTGTATTTGCATATAACATCATCAGGGCACCAAGCCAGTTTTGAAGAGGTTGGCAACACACCCACGTTCTTGGGAAGCAAGTGACTGATTAAGCTGCTTCTCATGGGGATTATTTGCAGTGGGGAAACTTCCCAGGCATAAATATTTCAGTAATGACCAAACAAGAAGCACTGATGAAGAAGGACAGATTTTTCAAAATCTGTGCTTTTACTACACATGTAGTATTTATACTGAGGGATGTTCAAAGGCCATCTTCTTTTTGCAAAGAGACAAGATTTGAATGAGAAGTTCTACAAAAAAATAGGTAATTTTTCTTTTCTTTCCTCCCATTTTCCACCGAGAGAAGGGATGTCAGTAAAAGACATGTATGAATTAGGCAACATTTGACAACAGAAAATGTAGACAGGCCTGAAAAGGAATCTATTTTAATTAAAATTTAATGCAAAGGAGAAAGAATGCAAGAAAATTGGTACAAGTTTTTACTCATTAAATGGATATTGACTGGGTAGCGACTATATTCTGGAACTGTGATAGACAGTGGGGAATAAGATCCAAGCCTGTCCTCAGGCAGCTAATAGTCTGGGTGGGAATAATGGAGATCTGAAAAATAGAAATAAAGAACAGATTTGGTCTATATCCATTAGTCCTATAGTCCTAATGACAGTTACAAACTATATGCTACTCATAGTCTGGGTGGGAATAATGGAGATCTGAAAAATAGAAATAAAGAACAGATTTGGTCTATATCCATTAGTCCTATAGTCCTAATGACAGTTACAAACTATATGCTACAAACTTATCTACATAAAATAGATAAGCAACAAGGAATTACTGTGTAGCACAGAGAACTATATTCAATATCTTGTAATAACCTATAATGGAAAATAATCTGACTATATGTGTGTGTGTGTGTGTGTAGCCAAATTGCTTGCTACATACCTGAAACTAACACAATATTGTAAATCAACTATACTTCAATTTTAAAACACTAGGAATTTTTTTTTTTTAAGAGAAATATTGCCGGGGGGAGGATGGGGAGGGGAAGGGATAGTTAGGGAGCTGGGGATGGACATGTACACACTGCTACATTTAAAATGGATAACCAACAAGGACCTATCATAATAACACAGGAAACTGCTCAATGTTAGGTGGCTGCCTGGATGGGAGGGGAGTTTAGGGGAGAATGGATACAGTTAGGTGTATGGCTGAGTCCCTTCCCTGTTCATCTGAAACTGTCAAAACATGGTTGATTGCCTATACTCCAAGACAAAATAAAAAAGTTTTTTAAAAGAGAGAGAGAGAGAGAGCAGATTTGAGTAAGGACAAAGTCATGCAGTTGAGGCAGGAAAGTATTTTTCCTCTGTGAATCCTGCCACCTCGTACTTCCCAGACTTCCTTTTCTTATTGAAAATTGGATGCAGCCTTGGCTCCTCCCTCACAGTTGTAGAGAGAGAAAGCCCATTGAATGAACGGGAGGACTGGGGAATTAAGCAGAGCTTTGGAGGAAAAATCAAGCCCTGAGGGCCCATTGTGGGGAACGTGCCAAGCAGCCGGCTGATGCTGGACACACCAGCCCTCATCCTTGAGGTGATGTAGGAGAGCCTAGGCTAGTCCCAGATTTTTGTTTTGCTCTGGTAAGGGGGCGTGGTGCACAGTGTGAAGTGCCCCACGACTACATGCTCGGCCCTCTTTCTCTTTTCTGTCTGTTCCCCTCTTGGAGATCATCCAGTCCCTTGGCTTTATACGTGTGCACCGAAAACCCGTGGGTTTGTCCCCTGAGCCAGGACCCCTTCCATGGACTCCACACTGTGTAGCTAGCTGGCTACTTGACATCTCATTTGAATAGCAAGTAAGCATCTCAAGTTAAGATGTCACAAATTCAATCCTTGATACAGCCCACTAAATCATTCTTCTGCTTCTCCGTTAATGGTGATTCCATTTTCCAGGCATGCAGTCCAGAATTCTGAAAGCCACCTGTGATGTCTCGGTTTGTCACCACCCCACACGTTCTGCCAGCTCTGTCTGTAAAACCTCTCCCGAGTTTCATCACCCTTCCCGCTGCCGCTGCCGTCCCTCCACTCCCGGGATCTAAGCCAGCGTCAGTCTCCCAGGGACCAAGGCCTGAGCTTGCTCCTGCCGCTCTTGCCGCGTTCAGACTCTTCTCATTAAGTGTCCTTCCTAGGTAAGACCACGTTACTCCTTTGTTTAAAACTCACCAGCAGCTCCCATCTCACTCAGAGTAGAAGCCAAAGTTCCTGAAGTGTTTTCCCCGCCTGCTCTGCCTTTCTGGGTGCTGTCTGATTTCTCCGTCACTCAACTCCTTGCCCCCTCCAAGCCCCGGCTGTGTGTCGTGTCTGGACTATGCCCAGCGCGCGGCACCTCAGGACCTTTGCACAGCTCACCCCCTCACCTCCGGGCTTTTCACTCTCTTATGGGCATCTCACAGGGAAACAGCTGATGCCCTCAGAATTGGGTCACCCGAGGAAGACTGATGTAGGAAGGGTGGAGGGGAACTGCGTGGGCCGTGTGTCCAGTCGCCTGGGGCCTTGGCTAAGAGTCCCTGGTGTCTGTGTTCTTCCCACAGTGTCAGGCTCTGTGCCTACAGGAAACCTGTTCACAGGGTATTTCCCAGAGGGGATTCCACAGGAGACAGGGGCTCCACAGGAGACAGGGTCTCCCACAGGAGGGAGGGGCGCCACAGGAGGGAGGAGCTCCACAGGAGGGAGGGGCTCCACAGGAGGGAGGGGCGCCACAGGAGGGAGGGGCTCCACAGGAGGGAGGGGCGCCACAGGAGGCAGGGGCTCCACAGGAGGGAGGGGATTCCACAGGAGGGAGGGGCGCCACAGGAGGCGGGGGCTCCACAGGAGGGAGGGGCGCCACAGGAGGCAGGGGCTCCACAGGAGGGAGGGGATTCCACAGGAGGGAGGGGCGCCACAGGAGGGAGGGGCTCCACAGGAGGGAGGGGCGCCACAGGAGGGAGGGGCGCCACAGGGCCCTGGGAGGTTCTCTCTAATGACTATTGTTCTGCAGGTTTCGATAAACGCTATTGATTTTACCGGAAGATTTTCAGACAATAGCTAGGACTCCTAGTCCTTCTGCAAAACGTCCTGAGTGGTCTGGAGCCTGCAGTATCTGGATGGTGGCTGCCTGGTCACAACACTGGACAAAACCATTTGCTGTGTGCAGGCAGTGACCACTGAGTCACAGCTGCCACCTGTCCAGTGTGTTGTAAAACCATGCCTGTGAGAACTGGTGAAAAGAAAACCAGGAGATTTGATGGCAGCTGGAGCTGAGGTCCCCAGGTTCACAACCAGCCATGTGTGAGATGGTGGGAAAGGGCAGGGCTTCAGACAGGACTGTCCTAGTGATTCTACACAGACCGTAGACACACGTCCTTTGTAAATTACCATGTCTTCAATTCTGTTGTATGACAACTTGTGTTCTTTAGTTTCTGGTTACCCTTAACTGGTAGGTGGCCTCTAACTCCTAGTTTTAAGTTTCTTTGCCCCATGACTTGTTTAATTTTTGTGACTTGGTAAATATTTGATTTACTGAGACGCCACCTTTTAAGAAGCATCTTAAATAGTCCTTTCATGTGGGGAACACAAAGCAGCATGCGTCCTACCCCTGGAATTACCTGCTTTTGAACTGGGGGGATGAGCAAGAAAATAGCAACCCACTCCAGTATTCTTGCCTGGAGAATCCTGTGGACAGAAGAGCCCGACGAGCTACAGTTCATAGGGTTGCAAAAAGTCAGACACAATTGAAGCGACTTAGCATGCACGCTCTTCTCAGCATGGTGAGTCCTTGTGCTCCCTGTGCAACGTACATGCTAGGAGGATGGGACCCTCTGCCGCAGACCAGGATTGGATGGGTATTTAAATGCACAGTGAGTGTCAGAACTCCACTGTGGCATTTTCCTTTGCCTTCACTTTGGTTTTCAGCAGAAACTCTTTTCTCTTGAGTCAGTCTTCCCCTCCGGCTTTGATATTCAGTTTTAGTAGGAACCCATCTGAAGTTGCCTGTAGAGATTTCAGCATGGTGTGAGTGACTTGTTGTCAAAAGTTGAAGTAGCGGAAAGCAGTGCTTAAAGGATCAGGAAGAAAAGCTGTCGTTTGCAGACTTTTGCTCCTGTGTAAGCAGATCTGACCACTCAAGAGTAATTGAATGGTTTGGCTTACCCTCTTCCTGTCTTCACTATTGTTCCCATTTCTTGTAAAATGTTGTTTGAAGAAAACAAATGGATAGTGTGGGCAGTGAAAATGGATGATCTGGTTCACAGGACATCTAGCTTTAGATGACCCCAAACAGACTAGATGGAGGTAAAAGTTGAGTTTGAATTTTTCTTTGCTTCCCTCTGCGATGAGTCAGAGTTTGCAATAGAAAAGTGAAATTCAGTACTTCCCCTGACTAACGTGTTTATTATTAAGTGAAGAACATATTAGCCATCTTGAGACCATCCAGCTTATTCTTCGTGCCCTCACAGAGTACAACGGTCAGAGGACCTGATGAATCAGCAGAGCTCTTTTGGCCTGTAGCTCACAACCCTCTTGAAGACAAGAGCACCGGAAGTTCTCTTGAACAATGCCACTCTGCCTGTCCCCTTCAGAGGCATGTGCGCATTCTCTCTGGTGACATTTTAAGGAGAGAGACAGGGAAGAGGGGAGATGACTCCCCTGCAAAGAATTAATTCAAATGGAGCTCTTCTGAGACTGTGGCTGGGTTTTTCTGCTTTATCTTTCTTCACCAAACTTTGCCTGGTGTGAAGAGATTGGTGACTCCCTTACCTGTTGCCACACAGCCTCAGCGTCCCATCTGGGAACAGCTGCCCTGGGCTGGGGTGTAACTGGCTGCTTTCTGACCTCGACCGGCCAGGCTGGAGCAGCGCAGGTGACTCACCTCTGTCTCCTGTGTTACTCATCCTCCTTTTGGGTCCAATAGAATAGCCCAGAAATGTACTTTTCATGCCAGAGGCGGAAACACAAAAGAGCAAGAGGAAACACATAAAGTCTTTTGAGGCCTAGGCTCCAAGAGGACACACCATCACTTCTGCCTCATTTATGAGCCAGAGCAAGTCACAGGCAGCAGGAAAATCAGATCGTTGTGGGGTGGGGGTGAGAGAGGTCTCCAAATTCACAGTGACAAGGGGTGTGGATATATGGAGGAAAGGAGAGTGGGAGCTGTTCTAAAATTTACCTATTTGTTTTTATTTGTGTGGCTGCATCGGGTCTTCATTGCACCATGAGTGATCTTTGGTTGCGGTGCGAGGGCTTCTCTAGTTGTGGTGCCTGGGCTTAGTTGCCCCCCGTCGTGTGGGATCTTAGTGTCCCCCCACCTGCCATCGTGTGGGGTCTTAGTTCCCCCAACCAAGATTCTAACCCTCATCCCCTACACAGGAAGGCAGATTCTTAACCACGGGACCCCCAGGAAAGTCCAAGAGCAGAAGCCTTTAATGTCATTATCTTCCACAATAGGTTCAAAGAAAACTGCTCACATCTAAAATGAAATTTCTCTTCTTTGTAATTTATCTTTTTCAGGAAACAAGAACCTATGGCTCTCTTTGCAGTCTTGCAGACAGCATTCCTCTTGACATTGCTGCCCTTGAGAACTTACCAAAGTGAAGGTAAGAAGTGAAAAGAACAATAAAGAAAAAAAATCACATAGAAAAAAAAAAAAGCAAGGTAACTGGTGCTTTGGGGAAAAATGAACAGGTCGTTTTTCTTTGGGAATTACCTGGAATTGGTGAGTAGCAGTGAGTAATTTAGTCTCTACCTTCCTGATCTTAATGGCTCATTTTAGTAAGTTACACCTTAACCCTGATTTCCTGGCCAATGGAAACTTGTCAGTAGACTTAATCCCTTAGAATTTCATGATCAATATATGATCCGTTGGCAGAGGAGTTCCTTCTGTATTTGGTGTGTAGAAATGGGTTATGTGATCAGAGTTAGAATGAGTTGGAATGTCCTGCATTCATTGAGAGGCCGTTGCCTCCACGGTAATATGCTAAGTGCTGAAATGCTGTTTATGGCTAAAGAATTAGTATTTGTCTCTTAGCTACTTATCCAGTGAAGGTTCGTGTATGTGTACTCAGTCACTTCAGTTGTGTCCAACTCTTTGTGACCCTAAGGACTGTTAGCCCACCATTCTCTGCTCTGGAGAATGGGATTTGTTATATAGTATACTTATTAAAGTATAGTTAATATAAAGTGTACATACTATAGTATATGAAGCATAAATATATATGTATTATATATAGCATAAGTGTATATGCTAGGAAATTATACTGTATATACTTATTAAAGTACATATACTTTAATAAGTTTACTTTAGCATATACATATTAAAATAATACAATATATGATGAGAGTTTTTACCTTTAATGTTAATAGTTTTTCTAGAAACAACATCATATTTTAGGGCTGCACGCTATCCCATCTTAGGAATGGGCCACAGTTTGTTTCCCTAAGTGTGTTGGAACCAGATGGAGAAACTGGTGGGGAAAGTAGGAGAGCCTATGACTAAGTCTATGGCTCTCTGGTTCTAAGCCCGCTCTTTGGCCACACTCCAATGCTGTGTTGTCGAGAGCTGGGCCAAGAGCCCTGGGTCCTAGTTGGGTTCTATGATCTTGGGAAAGTCACTCCCCCTTTTTTAGCCTCAGTTTCCCCCTCTGAAAAACACTGGGACTGGACTGAGTCACCTCCAGGGTCTTTTCTCTACCTCTCTGACTTTACCTTGGCATTTCCCACCATTTCCCAAGGATGTCCTAGATTGCTTTCCACTCAGTTATTTCCTACTGCTGTCTGCTGAGTACCTGAGTCACTCAACACTTACAGAGAGCATATGTCAATATGAAGAGTTCCTCTTTGTCTAAAGCATCACAGGGCAGCCTTCTAGAGCTTCCCGAAGCACTGGTGATATAGGGTAGGTGACTCACTAATTCAGTATGCAGTCACAGAGTGTCTCCACTGTGACAGGGATGTTACAGTCGTGACTTCATCGAGATGAGTAAGACTTAGTGCAACCTTTGTTCAGCTCACAGTCTGTGGGGAGACAAACGCCAAACAGGCTATGAACGCATGCTGTGATCAGGGTTCAAATATGAGGTGGGAAAAGCTGCAATGGGAAGAAGAGACCTCCAGGAAGGATGAGTTATTGGTGAGGGGCTGCTGGTCAGGCAGACACTTGAGATCGTGCCTGTGCTGTGTTGGATCTCTATAATTTGAGATCTGCTGTGGGTAAGACCTTGTGCCAAGTTCTGGGGACTAGAGTTCATTCCAAGATGCATAAGCCTCTGCCCTCAAGGAAATATGAATCTAGAAGTGAGACTGACAGCAACAGATGACCCTACCATACAAGCAAGGTGAAATGAGGACTAGGAAAGGTGGGCTGATTTTGTATGCACTCTGCTTCTCTACACAGTTATTAAAAATAATCCAACCCTCCCCCCATTCCATAAGGGTTCTGCCTTTTCATTTTCCTAAATCTCCCTATAGTTCATTTCCTAAATCTCTCTTTGGTTCACAGGTTTAGGGAGAGAATGAATATCAGCTGTTGCTTTCTGCTGTCTTTAACTAAAAAATTGAGACATTTTATTCACAAAGGAGGTAAAACCTCTAATCAAATAATGATAGAGGATGACTGCCCTGTTGGGCTTTGAATGTTCAGGAATCCCAACTTATTTCATTTACCTTTGAGTGAATGGGGCCTGATAACTAATTCCCTCTGCCCAAACTTGTTAAGAATCAGAATTCCAATTTATTAAGTTTCATTGGGGTGTAAAACATAGAAATATAACTGGAACTCAGCCTTTTGGTGCAAATCAGCTCATAAGACTAAATTATGCATTCTGAAGTGTCATCTTAGTGAAGTGAACTTCACTTATTCCTTATCTTAAAGGAATATTTCTTTTAAAATCTAGCATATTATATGGTTCTGAAAGTTATACATGTTTTCTGGAGAACATTTGCAAAGTACAGAAAAGCATAAAACAAGAAAATTAAAACCAACACAACGTTGTAAGGTGATTATCCTCCAATTAAAAATTAAAATCACTCAACCTCACCATCCAGAATTAATGACTGTTAACATTTTAGTTTTACTTTTCTTTATAGCTTTTTAAGAATAATGGAAGTGCTTTAAAAAATATAAAATGGGGGTAGAGTTCAATGTGACTTTTTAAATGTATGAAAAAGGTCAGGAAAAACTCATGATTTAAACTTGGCAGTGGAGTGAGAGTGGAATTGGTAGGGAATTCAATGTCTGTATTGGTTGAATATTTTTATCATGATCATGTATATTTTAAAAATAATATTTATTGATGTGAAATTTACATAACATGAAATTACCAATTTATGGTTAAAGTGAACAAATCAGTGGCATTTAATACATTCAAAAATTTTTGCATCTACCACTTCTATATAGTTCCAAAATTTTTTTGTTGTCTCCAAAGAAAACACTGTAATCATTAATCAATTATCCCCATTCCTCCTTCCCTCCGCCCCTGGCAACCTTCAGTCTGCTTTATCTCTCTGTGGACTTAACTGTTTTGGATATTTTGTGTGAATTTCATACTGTATGAGACCTTTTGTATCTGGCTTCTTTTGCTTAGTGTAAGGTTTTCAAGGTTCACCTGATTTGTAGCGTGTATCAGTACTTCATTCTTTCTTCACGTCAGTTCAGTCGCTCAGTTGTGTCTGACTCTTTGCGACCCCATGGACTGCAGCACGCCAGGCTTCCCTGTCTGTCACCAACTCCTGGAGTTTGCTCAAACTCACATCCATTGAGTCGGTGATGCCAACCATCTCATCCTCTGTCATCCCCTTCTCTTCCTGCCTTCAGTCTTTCCCAGCATCAGGGTCTTTTCTAATGAGTCCATTCTTTGCATCAGGTGACCAAAGTGCTGGAGCTTCAACTTTAGCATCAGTACTTCCAATGAATATTCAGGACTGGTTTCTTTTAGGACTGATTGGTTTGACCTCCTAGCAGTCCACGGGACTCTCAAGAGTCTTCTCCAACACCACAGTTCAAAAGCATCAATTCTTTGGCGCTCACCTTTCTTTATGGTCCAACTCTCACATCAATACGTGACTACTGGAAAAACTATAACTTTGACTATATGGACCTTTGTTGGCAAAGTAATATTTCTGTTTTTTAATATGCTGTCTAGGTTTGTCATAGCTTTTCTTCCAAGGAGCAAGTGTCTTTTAATTTCATGGCTGCAGTCACCATCTGCAGTGATTTTGGAGCCCCCAAAATAATTTCTCAGTGTTTCCATTCTTTTCCCATCTATTTGCAATAAAGGGATAGGACAGGATGCCATGATCTTAGTTTTCTGAATGTTGAGTTTTAAGCCAACTTTTTCACTCTCTCATTTTCATCAAGAGGCTCCTTAGTTCTTCTTTACTTTCTGCCATAAGGGTGGTGTCATCTGCATACCTGAGATTATTGATATTTCTCCTGGCAGTCTTGATTCCAGCTTGTGCTTCATCATCCCAGAGTTTCTCATGATGTACTCTGCATAGAAGTTAAATAATCAGGGTGACAGTATACAGCCTTGACGTACTCCTTTTCCTATTTGGAACCAGTCTGTTGTTCCATGTCCAGTTCTAACTGTTGCTTCTTGACCTGTATACAAATTTCTCAGAAGGCAGGTCAGGTCATCTGGTATTCCCATCTCTTTCAGAATTTTCCACAGTTTGTTGTGATCCACACAGTCAATGGCTTTGGCATAGTCAGTAAAGCAGAAGTAGATGTTTTTCTGGAACTCTCTTGCTTTTTCAATTATCCAGGGGATGTTAGCAGTTCAATATCTGGTTACTCTGCCTTTTCGAAATCCAGCTTGAACATCTTGAAGTTCATGGTTCATGTACTGTTGAAGCCTGGCTTGGAGAATTTTGAGCATTACTTTACTAGCATGTGAGATGAGTGTACTTGTTCAGTAGTTTGAGCATTCTTTGGCATTGCCTTTCTTAGGGATTGAAGTGAAAACTGACCTTTTGCAGTCCTGTGGCCACTGCTGAGTTTTCCAAATTTGCTGGCATATTGAGTGCAGCACTTTCACAGCATCATCTTTTAGGATTTGAAATAGCTCAACTGGAATTCCATCACCTCCACTAGCTTTGTTCATAGTGATGCTTCCTAAGGCCCACTTGACTTCTCATTTGAGGATGTCTGGCTCTAGGTGAGTGATCATACCATTGTGGCTCTCTGGGTCATGAGAATCTTTTTTGTATAGTTCTTTGGTGTATTCTTGCTACCTCTTCTTAATATCTTCTGCTACTGTTAGGTCCATACCATTTCTGTCCTTTATTGTGCCCATCTTTGCTTGAAAATTTCCCTCGGCATCTCTAATTTTCTTGAAGAGATCTCTAGTCTTTCCCATTCTGTTGTTTTCGGCTTTCTCATCTCTCCTGGCTATTCTTTGGAGCTCTGCATTCAGATGAGTATATCTTTCTTTTTCTTCTTTGCCTTTAGCTTCTTTTCTTTTCTCAGCTATTTATAAGTCCTCCTCAGCCAACCATTTTGCTTTTTTGCATTTCTTTTTTTGGGGGATGGTCTTGATCACTGCCTCGTGTACAATGTCAGAACTCTCTGTCTGAAGTTCTTCAGGCACTCTATCAGATCTAATCCCTTGAATCTATTTGTCACTTCCACTGTATAATCATAAAGGATTTAATTTAGGTTGTACCTAAATGGTCTAGTGGTTTTCCCTACTTTCTTCAATTTAAGTCTGAATTTTGCAATAGGGAGTTCATGACCTGAGCCACAGTCATCTCCCGGTGGTTTTTGCTGACTGTATAGGGCTTCTCCATCTTTGGCTGTAAAAAATATAATCAATCTGATTTTGGTATGGACCATCTGGTGATGTCCATGTGTGGAGTCTTCTCTTGTATTTCAGGTTATGAATATACCACAAGACGTTTGTCCATTCATCTGCTGATGGACATTTGGTTTGTTGTCACCTTCTCGCTATTGTGAATAGTGCTGCTACAAACATTTGCGTACAAATATTTAAGTCTTGCAGTTCTTTAGGATATATATGTAGGAATGAAATTATTGGATCATGTGGTGATTTTAACTTTGTGAAGAACTTTCAAAATGTTTTCTCCAGTTCCAGAGTCATTTTTCACTCCCACCTTGATATACAAAGGTTTTTATTTCTCCACATCCTCACTGATGCTTATTTCCATTTTTTTAAATTATAACCTTCATTGTGAGTATAAGATAGTATCTCATTATGATTTTGATCTTCATTTCCTTTATGATTAATGATGTTGAATGTCTTTTCATGTGCTTATTGGCCATTTGTACATCTTTGGAGAAATGCCTATTCAAGTCATTTGTCTGTTTTTAAAATAGAGCTGTTTGTCTTTTAGCTGTTGAGTTGTCAGAGTTCTTTATAAATTCTGGGTACTAGATGAGTGATTTGCAAAATATTTTCTCCACTTGTAGTTTTTCTTTCCACCCTTTTGACAAGGTCCTTAGATGCACAGTTTTTAATTTAGATAAATTTCCATTTGTCTTTTTTTTTTCTTTTCTGACTCATGCTTTGGCATCATATCTAGGGACCCAATGCCAAATCCAAGGTCATGGGAGTCCAGACTAAGATTCTAGTTGGTATCCTAACCATTCCCAGCATCTGATCTATAAAATTCACAAAGGATGGATATCTTTCTGGGAAAAGAGTCGTTGATGGCCAATAACTTAGATTTTATGGCCATTCTTGTTAACTTTGCTTCCATAGAATGAATTTTCTGAGTTTTGTTTTCTAAACTCTGAGGATAAAACCTTAGTTAGATCCTGAAGCTATCTATCATGTAGACCATTATCATGGAGAGCTTCATGCTTGTATCCACCAAGAATACTTATCAACTTTTCTGGCTAGGTCCAGAGCCCCTTCCTTATCATCTGTATCCTGAACTTGGCAGGACATGATGGGAGCCACACCTCTCAGACATTCCAGTCCATGTGACCTTTGATTGGGCAAGATGTTCCTGCCTTCACAGTTGGGGAGCAGTGCAATAAAGGGGGACAAGGCTTGGTGTTAAAGAGATCCATACTTAAGTTCCATGTCGCTTTGTGTACATTGTTTAAGCTATTGAACTCGAGTTTCCTCATCTATAAAAAATTATTGTCTCAGTTTTACAGTGGGCATTTCATGAGAAAAAAATATGCAAAGCACCTAGTACCATACCTGATAAACTTTATGTGCTCAATCTTATTGTTGCTGTTATTTTTTACCTCCCTGTAAGAAAAATACAGGCTTCCCAGGTGACTCAGGGGTAAAGAATCTGCCTGCCAATGCAGGAGATGTGGGTTCCATTCCTGAGTCAGGAAGATCCCTTGGAAGAGGGAATGGCTACCCACTCCAGTATTCTTGCCTGGAGAATCCCATGGACAGAGGAGCCTGGACGGCTCCAGTCCATGGGGTCACAAAGCGTTGGATACAGCTGAGCAAGCACATGCACACTGAGAAAAGCAGCACATGTAGAATGAGTTTGAGAAATTTTTTTTTCAGTATTAGAGATTCATTCCATTTTTATTCTCAAAAGAAGGTAATCTCTTATCATTTAAACTAGGTACCAGAGAGTCTCAGATCAGTAGGGGGAAATCCCCAAAGAACTAGAAAAATGAATGCTAAAAAGATGATATGTGCTCCACCATGAACCATCAGCTACCAGTTGATTTTATCAATACACTCTTCATCTTTTCAATACCTTTGCACCATTCCCAGTGTACTTAAGATGCCCTCAAACCAACCAGTGAAGCCTCTTGATTTAACAATACACATTTTTTTTGGAATCTGTATGGCATTTTCTCTACTTATGTAAAAAGTGATGTTGTATTCTTCTCCCAGAATTAGTGATCCCACTCATTCCATCAGGGCAAATCCGCTCTCTGGGCTCTTTTCCAGCTCAGCAAATTTGACCTCAGCAAATCTGTCCTATGTTTGAATCTTTCCTCTTTGACAGACTCTGTCCCACCATTAAACACTCTAAACTTGCAATCACTCATTATTTCATAGAAGTCTCTTGTGTCTCTCCACTAGGTTCCTTCCTTGAGCTAGAAACCTTGTCATGATTATTTCATTTCACACTGTGTCTAATCCCATCCAAAGAGCCCAGTGAATTCTTGCCAGAGGTGTTTTAAGTTCAGTGCATTGAGATTTAAGCAATAGCCTCTAGAGATGGGACTTGTTCTCACTTTATAGCTGTTTAATAAACTATGAAATATTTGTTTGGGTTTTTTTGACCACAAAACATATGGGATCTTAGCTCCCCAACCAGGGGTTGAACCTACATCCCCTGAATTGGAAGACAAAGTCTTAACCACTAGATTGCCAGGGAAGTCCCCTAAACTATGAAATAATTCATAAAATATTCACTTTAGATGTCCAGAACTATGAAATTTATAGCAAAAAGCTCTCTTTTCTTATTCAGCCTTGTTATAAATTTCTAAACCATTTAGATTATTCAATAAAGTATCCTTTTGTGTAACTGTCAATATATTAATTTGCTGTGTATCATTGAGCAACTCATTTCCTTCATCTAGGGCTTAATTTCTTCATCTGATGAGTGATTTCTAAATTCCCTCCAGCTTTTCAGTGTCTAATTCTAGAGTGTATATGTGAGCAATGTTTTCCAAAGCTAAACAATGATGATATTGAACAGTTTAATTATCTGTGACTATTTAATCATACTCCTATTAAGTGTTACTTCATATCGTGTTTTGTTTGGTCTTTCAGTCTTGTCTGAACCATTACCATTAACTCCTGAAGCACTGAGCGTTTCCATCAATTCTGCAAAGCAGTGTTTGCATTTACAATGGACTGTCCACAACCTTGATTATCATCATGAATTAAAAATGGTTTTTGAGATACAGATCAGTAGATTTAAAGCATCCGATGTCATCTGGACGGTAAGTATTTTTACTCTTGTCTCAGTATTTTAAAAATCCTTTTCTAACACCATGATTTGTCTTTTATGACATCCTCCCCAAAATCCCAATCTGGAATCATTTTAGCTACTCAGAACAGTTCTAAATAATCTCAGTTCTGTGTTTTAGTTAAGAGGATCCGGGGCAAATTAACATGACAATTTTAGTTTGGTAGATTGGGTGGGTTGTGCTGTAAAAATAGATCATTTTCTTAGTTCTTCTCTGTTCTCTATGAAAGCTGTTGGGGTCTATCCTTGTGAAGACTGGGTTCCAAAAATCCATGATCAGCCATCTTATTCCTCTTCCTTCTTCCTTCTCTGCCTACCAAAGATTTTCCTAAATCAGATGTAATAGTTTGGCAGTTCTCATGTCAGTGTGGCTCTCAGGCAGTTTCTTTACTAATACCGTGCTGAAATACAAGGAAGAAAACATTCTAGCATTTTCTCTTCTACCCAGCAAAGAGGTCTCCCACGGACCTTGTCAGAGAGTAACTTACCATGTCCTTTGTTTCCTCACATGTGGCTTTTTCTATAGTAAATTAAATTACGAAAATCCTGAACTTTATACTCTTTTTGCCTTTGAATTATTTGGGATTGATGTTCTCTAGTCTGGTTTAAGTCACGGTTATGTCTGTTTTGCCTGATGCTTTCCCCTTTGCTGCATTGGGGCACTTTGGTGGTTCCTTTCAGTGACCATGTATGGTCCAGGGAGCCCTAGTAACCTGTGCCCACATCATGATCATTTATAATCATGGGAGGCTGAAGCACAGTGATCTATTTTCTCAGTGAAGGGAAACAGAGAATTTGCGTAGAGGGAAGTGAAACGCGGGTGTGTTATTGCCGGGGACCTCTGTTTGCTAGTGGACAGCTACTCTCCTCTCAGGCAGTGGAGGCATGGGTGCAGGGACCCAGAGGGCCAGTTCCTTTAGTAAAGCATAAAGGTTACTAACTTTAATGGTTCCAGTTACTTTTATGATCCATCATCACCTTTGAGATCCGAATGAGTGGCCTAAATATCCTTCTGACTATTGATTTAAGGTTGATACCAGTTCTATAATTCTACCCCTCAAAGGGCAGCTTCCTACTGTGAGAATTATTTGATTTCTTTTTTTTTTTTAAGGCCAAACACAGTAGTTTATTTGGGGTTTGTTAGGACTACAGGCCAGAAGACACAGATCTCAGAAACACTTGCATTGTGTTCCCTGGTTTTTTATTTTTTTTAAAAAATTTATTGAGATATGGTATAATTGCTTTACAATGTTGTATTAGTTTCTGCTGTGTAGCAAAGGGAATCAGCTATATATATACCTATGCCTTCTCTTTGTTGGATTCCCTTCCCTTAGGTCATCAGAGAGCACTGAGTAGAGTCCCCTGTCCTATAGGTTTTTGTTAGCTATGTATTTCTATGTAGGATGTAGATATGTCAATCCCAGTTTCCCAGTTCATCCCACCCCTCCGTTCCCCCTTGGTGTCCATGCATTTGTTCTTTCCATCTGTGTCTCTATTCTGCTTTGCAAATGGGTTCATCTGTGCCATTTCTCTAGATTGCATACAACAGCAGTGCTTGTATACAGCTGTTCCCTCCCCAGCCCTTCCTCCCGCTGTCCCTTTCATGGGGATAATTTCTGTATTTTCATGTTTTTTGTATTATCGATGAATACATGTGTTGATTTGGGCCTAGTACAGCATTGGATAGAGGTCATGTTGAGGCTAAGAATTGCCTAGGGAAAAGAAATTTGAGTGGAGGGCTGGAGGAATTTGTGGAAAACTAGCATTTAACCCCATTATTGAAAGTAACATGAACCACAGACCAGGTGGACCCCTTTCTTTATTCTTCTAAAAGATAGTTCTTTTTGTTACTATAGTAAAGAAAATAATGGTAGGAAAGCCTGAACCAACAGTTGTTCACATCTGTTTAGACCTTTGATTCAGGTGCTAGTTTTCTTTTCAAGGTAAAAAGAGAAACCTTTTTCTTTCTTGCTAAGTAGGTTTCTTGCTGCTGAAATCTACTTGTAACCAACCAAGGCTGGAAGTGTTTGAGGGTAGAGTTTTGCCTTGTCCATTACATGGTTCCCATAACATCCAAGCCCAGCCTGACCCCTAGGACAGAGAAAGGTTTGTGATGCTGCTTTTTTCTTATTTTTGCCACTTATTCATTTGACAAAAGATAATCACACCTGCCTATGCCAGATGCCAGGAACAGGTAAAGAAAAATCAGCTTTGACTTGAATAGTTTGCAGCACAGTTGAGAAGATAGTCCAGGACACACACAGCAACACCAGGAGGACAATTTCAGAAAACCTGCAATGACCTACCCCTGACCATGCACACACAGAACTCTCTCCGTTTGCCTGCTGGGGTTGGGTGGGGTAGGACCCTCCAGCCCGAGGAGGGAACAGCCCCTCCCTAGGCAGCTCTGTTTCTGACTGGAGCCCTGGGTTCCACATGGGGGTTATGGCCACATGCAATCTTTCCCAGTCATCAGTCGCCATGCATCCCAGAGCAGATGAGGCCATGAGAAGCTGTTGTCTGAACCTCTTGGGCCTGCAGTCAAGGACAGACCTAAGGTCTCCTCCACTTAAGGGTCAGAAAGCCAGCTGAGAGAGGCTGCTTCTATCTGGACCATAATCTCCTTTCATAGGGCAGGTCCCTGAAATGCAAACTCACTCTTGCCAAGAAGGAGCAGCTTTCTGTTCTCATGACTCCAATTGTGTGTTCCCAAATAAGCTAGTGGATAGTAATTAATAAATATATTTATTTATGTTAAATTTATAAATTTATATTAAATTGAATATGTACCATAGATAAATAAAACAAGGCAAATAGATGGGGGGAAAGCTCCAAAATCACTGCAGATGGTGACTGCAGCCATGAAATTAAAGGTACTTGCTCCTTGAAGAAAAGCTGTGACAAACCTAGACTGCGTATTAAAAAGCAGAGACATTACTTTGCCAACAAAGATCTGTCTAGTCAAACCTACAGTTTCTCCAGTAGTCATGTATGCATGTGAGGGCTGGACCATAAAAAAGGCTGAGCACCAAAGAATCGATGCTTTCACATTGTGGTGCTGGAGAAGACTCTTGAGAGTCCCTTGGACAGCAAGGAGATCAAACCAGTCCATCCTGAAGGGAATTAACCCTGAATACTCACTGGAAGGACTAATGCTGAAGCTAAAACTCCAGTACTCTGGCCACCTGATGCTAAGAGCCGACTCATTGAAAAAGAACCTGATGCTGGGAAAGACTGAGTGCAGAAAGAGAAGGGGGGTGACCGGGTGGGACTCAGTGAACATGAGTTTAAGGAAAGTCTGGAAAATAGTGAAGGACAGAGGAGCCTGATATGCTGCAGTTCATGGTGTCACAAAGAGTTGGACTTGACTTAGCAACTAAATAACAATAACAAATAAGCCGAAGGACAAGTGTCTTGACCCAGGTGCTTGCAGCTGGTCCAGGGACTCTGAGCTGGATCCCAGCTGGCACCGACCACTCAGAACTCACCGCATAGTCTCACCTTGGCCTGGGTTCTGCCCTTGGCCTTTCTAGTCACATGCTTTATGGTTCTGTCCATGGCAGGAGAAGGCAGAGTAGAGTAACCACTCAAGCTTGGAAGGAGGCCTGGAGCTTGAATCAGGGAGGAATAAACTCACTTCTTGGGAATGGATCAGTGACCTCACTTGGACATCATGTAAATGCCAGTTTTTCATGACTTACTGATGTCTGCCAGGGCCAAATTAAACTTGCCACTTCAATGAATGAAAACAGCCCAAACACAAGTCATCACATTTTTAAAAGTCACTGAATTGATGCATTCAAGGAAAGTTTTATCTCCTCCACAGCATGGCTATAAAGACCACAAAGCACAACTTTGTGGTTAGACAGAATCCACACAAAGAGGGTCTGGGAGAAGCAGAGCTCATGACATATTAATGAACTGATGAAATCATTTAGCACATAGTTTTAGACTGTGGGCTTAGGTCCAGGCCTTGTTCAAGGCGTGGGGCTATCAATGCTGAGCAAAACTAAGGAGATGGTCACAAAATTAAGAGTGTCCTAGATGTAAGGAGTGCAGGTTGTTGACAATGGGCTATGGGTTGAGATTAGGCCTGACGTTCTCTAGCAGCTTGGAGGAAGGACAGTTGGAGTCAAAGTAGGAAAGAAGATTAGAAGCTAATTTAGCATGGAGAATGGAGAGGAATGTTCCAGGAATATCCAGTTGGAGTGAGCAGAGGCCCTGTGTGAAAGGGGCTGGGAGCTTTCAGGCTTGAAAGCATGGAGCACGTGGGGTGGGCAGGACAGGGCCAGACCACATGCGACTGGGGGTCATGCTCAGGTATGGTTTTGTATCCTGGGAACAGTGAGAAGGGGTGATGAGATCTGATTAAAACCACTCTGGTTCCACAATGGGGAGAAGTTGGGAGAATTGGAGGAGGTGAAGTGTGACCAGTTTGAATTGAGCAGTGGGGTTGGTCCAGAGGAGAAGGGCCTGGAGTAGGTGATAACAATGGGGAGGAGAGAAGTGACTGAATTCCTGAGGGATATAGGAGGCGAAATCCAGTCTATGGCTTGTTTGCATTATGGCAAGGTCACCATGACTGCTATAATGTTCATATTATAGCAAGGTTACTGATTGACTGACAGCCAATTTTTTGTACTAGTTTTTAAATAATGGGGAAAATGTACCCGAGATTGTGCACATTAAATAGTAAAAGTTGCATGGGTCAGGACCCCAAAACTTGTTAAAAACAATGTTTTATAGGGATGTGCTGTGCTGTGCTTGGTCGCTCAGTCATGTCAGACTCTTTGTGACCCCAGAATTGCAGCCTGCCAGGCTTCTCTGTCCATGGGGATATTCCAAGCAAGAATAGTAGAGTGAGTTGCCATGTCCTTTTCCAGGGGGTCTTCCCAACCCAGGAATCGGACCCAGGTCTCCCGCATGCAGGCAGATTCTCTACCATCTAAGCTACCAGAGAAGCCCAAGAATACTGGAGTGGGTAGCCTATCCCTGCTCCAGGGGGTCTTCTTGACCCAATAATCGAACTGGGGTCTCCTGCAATGCAGGTGGATTCTTTACCCCCTGAGATACCAGGGAAGCCCTTTATAGGGATAGGAATACAACAAACTGAAACAATGTAAGCATTTTACAAATGGGAGTTCTGTTTAGAGTGACAAAGGACATGCATGATTAGATGCCCTTCAGTTGGACTAAGCAGTTCTCCTTCCAGAATAGTGTTTGGTTCTGCCCAGGGCACCATTTAAGGCTGACTGGGGGAGGGGAAGGCATAGTGGAGGGAAGGCATCCAAGTTTGGCAGCTCCAGGTGGTATGTGGCATATGTATTGCCCCCTCCTCTTCACTGTAGGACTTATCACTGGCCCTTAAAAAAATGGATGCAAACTCAGTTTTCCCCACAAAGGGCAAGGTATCTGTTGTCCTTGTCTTACAGCTGTGGGGGCAGAAGGCAGGTATCCCACTGAGGAGCATCGGTGCTTGGAGCTGTGGTCCAAGAAGAAGAATAAAGCCAGTCCCTGCTCTTACGGTACCATATTCAAGTCAGGGGCTTGACCATAGATGAAATGCCACCTACCCACAGTAGTTAAGATTAGGCCTTGCCTAATCTTAACTGTGTCCCCTTCTTCTGTCCTCAGTCTTTCCCAGCATCAAGGTCTTTTCAAATGAATCAGCTTTTCGCATCAGTGGGGGAGAATGAATACATGGATATGTATGCCTGAGTTCCTTCACTATTCACCTGAAATTACCACAACATTGTTAATTGACTGTACCCCAATACAAAATAAAAAGTTTAAAAAAAAAAAAAAGAAAGAAGGCGAGACTTCACTTTACCAACAAAGTCCGCCTAGTCAAAGCTATGATTTTTCCAGTAGTCATGTATGGGTGTGAGAGCTGGACCAGAGAGAAGGCTGAGTGCCAAAGAATTGATGCTTTCAAATTGTGGTGCTGAAGAAGACTCTTTTGAGAGTCCCGTGGACAACAAAGAGATCAAACCTGTCAATCCTAAAGGAAATCAACCCTGAATAATCAGTGAAAGGACTGATGCTGAAGCTGAAACTCCAATACTTCAGCCACCTGATGCGAAGAGCCAACTTATTGGAAGAGACCCTGATGCTGGGAAAGACTGAAGGCAGGAAGAGAAGCGGGCAATAGAGGATGAGATGGTTGGATGGCCTTACTGACACAATGAACCTAAATTTGAGCAAACTCCAGGAGACAGTGAAAGACACGGAAGCCTGGCTTGCTGCAGTCCATGGGGCCACAAAGAATTGGACTTGACTTGGCGACTGAACAACCACCATCATATGTAGGGGAGCTTGGGGAGAGGTGGGGGTGGGAAGAAACCAGAGGAAAGAGTAAGAAAAGCTTCATGAAGATGGGTGTAATGGGCTTGGAGGTTGAGACTAATTCCCAATTCAGAGCAGGGGTTGGGGGTGGGAGACACTAAACCAGGGACACTACATGGGAAAACCCTGAGATGTAAGGGCACAAAGCTGTTCCAGCAGCATGAGGGCAAACCACTGGTTCTTGAGAGAAGAGTCCTGCAAGGGAGAAGCAGGTTGGAGTCAGACTGCAAACGGCCTTGGATGACAGGGTAAAGCGTAAAAGGAGCCACTGAAGTTTATTGAATTTAAGAATGAAAATACCAATGTTTTAGAAAGATGAAGACTAAAATCTATGCAGGAAAAGCAAATTACATTTCAACCTGGACAGGCTTCCTAAGAGCACAATGTAAGTTCTGCCTATGTGGTTGACATCTCTGGGTACTAAAGATTGTGAAGGTGGGAGCTCAAGGAAGGCGGTGTGGTCCATGTGGCCACCACATCTGAAAAGACTAGAGACAAAAACCAAGGGGATCACGGGAAGTGATCTATTAACTTCTGGGCGACAGTGGAACTCCTGGGTACCATGAAGGACTGCCAGCTCTGCTGAGGTTTGATCTGATGAATGTTAGAAAATTCTTATCAATCTTGCTTACTTTTAAAACAGTGCCTAAATTAATTCTCTAGTTTGCAAGAATTTTCTCAGCACACTCTTGTGACCAGAACTGTGCGTACACCTTCTTTCTCTGATCCTTTTCCCTAAGACTCAAGTAGTGTCTATTCTGTCTCTCACTTGGTTCATGGGATCCCCCTGGAACTGGGGGCCCAAAGAGATTGGGAGCCAAGTTTTCAATAGGCAGGAGGCTATGGCTGGTTCCTTGCTGAACCGTCAGAGTATAGGAACTGGCTGACTGGAAACAGACTGAGCTTGTCCGTATCCTGGAGTTATAGTGGACACTTAGGTGTGTGCGTTAGGATAAGTCCAGCCAAGCCATTTTTCAGGACTGCATGGTTATCTGCGTCAAAGTTTTTCTCTTTATTTCTAGGGGAACTACAGCACCACTGTGACGCAGAACCAAGTCCTGCACTGGAGCTGGGAGTCTGAACTCCCGTTGGAATGTGCCATACACTTTGTAAGAATGAGGACTATGGTGGATGATGCCAGGATTCCTGTGCCCAGGTTCTGGAGTAACTGGAGTTCATGGAAGAAAGCAGATGGTAAGAAGTGAGGCTTTGAAAGAGTGAGGGGGTTTACTAGCTAATATTTCTTGGGGATCAGTAGTCAAATGGTAGAAGTCCTTATTGAGGAACTCCAGGTAGGCACCAGCATTATTTATATTTGTCTCCTATTGGATCTAAAAAGCATGATGTGAGACTTGCCGCTGGGAGATAGAGGTCTCAGGATTTTAATATTCTTGCTTGGAAAATTTATTGGACAGAGGAACCTGGCAGGCTACAGTCCGTGGGATCCACAAAGAGTCGGACACGACTGAGCACATATGCATTGGACCCAAAAAGCATGGATGTGAAACTTGCCACTGGGAGATAGATAAGAGGTCTGAGGATTTTCCCTCTGAATTTATTCATTGAGATAACTATGCAAATTCAGACAATGTAGGATTCATTTTCCATATGTGTGAAGTATGTACATTATAGAATGCTGAGTGAACAAAGAAAAATATAAATTGTACATATATTTTTATTAGAACAACACAAAATGTGTATACAACTAGCATAGAATTTGGGAAGCTTTTTCTATCAAGGACAAGATAGAAAATATTTTAGGTTTTACAACCCTACATTCTCTATCGGGGCTATTCACCTCCTCTATTGTAGCATGGGAGCTGTCATAGGAAGTATGTAAATGAATGGTTGTGTTCCAATAAAACTTTATTTACAAAAAGCAGACGGTGGCTGGAATTGGCCCATGTGCCATAGCCTGCCAACCCCTAATGTAGAGACAAGGGAGGGAAATATGGAAAACTGGAAGTAATTCTTCATTTGAGTAATGAAATCATGGGTAATTGTGTTTTAAATATTTCTTAATTTTGGTTATTTTGTTGTGATTAAAATTTAGCATTCTTCACAATTTCTTATGCTTCAGCTAAGCTATAGGTTAGCTATAAAGCAATGTCATCTGATGCTCTCAACTATATACCTTGATAGGTTATCTGAAATTTCCTACCAAGAGAACCATTCCTTAGCTAAGTATTTATGCAAATGTAACTCAGACTGATAACACTTTAACCCACAAGAGACCCAATGATTAGTTTAATACTAACAGAATAAAATCTGCTTCCTAGTTGCTGCTTTCAACACTATATGTATTTAGTTGTCACATCTGCCCTAGGAAATACATATAATTCTCATCCCTTTTTCACATATGAGGAAGTGGAGGCACAAATAGCTTTAAAAAAAAAAAAATTAAGATCATCAGGCCACTAAGTGGTAGAGCCAGAATTCTAACCTGGAAAATCTAGCTCCATAGGCCATGCTGTTAACCATCGCATCCTATTGCTGAGAGACACACTTAGAGAAAAAGACAGAAAGAGAGAGATTAAAAAGATAGTAACAGAAAAAGAAAGAGCAACATTATCAACAACTTTGGTACAATGGACTAGGTTTCTCAAAATTGTAACCTCCACACTAACCCCAAAATTGATAGAAAAGCTGATTATGCCTGTAAAATTTTTATTAAATTATACTTGATTTATAATATCATGTAAATTTCAAGTGAATAGCACAGTGATTCAGTTATAAATTTATATGTATTTTTATCAGATTCTTATCCCTTACAGGTAGTTATATAATATCGAATATAGTTCCCTGTGTTATATACTAGGTCTTTGTTGGTTATCTATTTTATACACAGTAATGTTTCTATGTTAACTTGAAACTCCTAATTTATCTATTCTCTGTACTCTTCTTTCTCCTTTGGTATCCATATGTTGGTTTTTTTTCTTTCTTTTTTTTTTACTGTATCTGTCAGTCTCTCTCTGTTTTGCAAATAAGTTCATTTGTGTCATTATTTTTTTCTTTTAGATTTATATATAAGTGATATCATATGTTATTTGCCTTTGTCTGGCTCTTTTCCCTTAGTGTGATACTCTGCTGCTGCTGCTAAGTCGCTTCAGTCGTGTCCAACTCTGTGTGACCCCATGGACTGTAGCCCACCAGGCTCCCCTGTCCATGGAACTCTCCAGGAAAGGATACTGGAGTGGGTTGCCATTTCCTTCTCCAGTGATACTCTCTAGGTCCATCCATGTTGTGCAGATGGCATTACTTCATTCTTTTTTATGGCTGAGTAAAATTCCGTTTATATATATGTATATGTATACACATATACATACATACATACATATATATGTGTGTATATACCACATTTTCTTTATCCGTCTCTCTGTCAGTGGATATTTAGGTTGGTTCCATGCCTTGGTTATTGTAAATAGGCCTGCAGGGATCTTTTCAAATTATGGTTTTCTCTGGTGGCTCAGACGGTAAAGGGTCTGTCTGCAATGCTGGAGACCTGGGTTCAATCCCTGGGTTGGGAAGATCCCTGGAGAAGGAAATGGCAACCCACTCCAGTACTCTTGCCTGGAAAATCCCGTGGACAGAGGAGCCTGGTAAGCTATAGTCCATGGGGTCACAAAGAGTCGGATACGACTGAGTGACTTTAGTTTACTTAGTTTACTGGGTATATGCCCTGGAGTGGGATTGCAGGATCATATAGTAGCTCTGTTTTTAGTTTTTTAAGGAATCTCCATATAGTTCTCTAAAGTGGCTATACCACAGTGTTGGAGGGCTCCTATTTCTCCACACCCTCTCAGCATTTATTATTTGTAACTTTTTGATGATGGCCATTCTGACTAATGTGAGGTGATACCTCACTGTAGTTTTTTTTCTTTTTCATTGTAGTTTTGATTAACGACAGAGGATGAGATGGCTGGATGGCATCACTGACTCGATGGACATGAGTTTGGGTAAACTCCGGGAGTTGGTGATGGACAGGGAGGCCTGGCGTGCTGCGATTCATGGGGTTGCAACAAGTCGGACACGGAGTGACTGAACTGAACTGAGCACGGCCCCACCCAGCAGAACAAGTTTTTCCCTCAGTCAGTCTCTCCCATCAGGAAGCTTCCATAAGCTTCTTATCCTTCTCCATCAGAGGACAGACAGACTGAAAACCACAATCACAGAAAAATAGCCAATCTGATCACATGGACCACAGCCTTGTCTAACTCAGTGAAACTATGAGCCGTGCCGTGTAGGGCCACCCATGATGGATGGGTGATGCTGGAGAGTTCTGACAAAACGTGATCCACTGGAGAGGGGAGTGGCAAACCACTTCAGCATTCTTGCGTTGAGAACCCCATGAACAGTATGAAAACAGTTTGTATGGTGTTAGAGAATGTTTTAATTTCATTGTTTTACATGTAGCTGTCCAGGTTTCTCAGTACTGCTTATTGAAGAGACTGTCTTTTCTCTATTGTATATTCTTGCCTCCTTTGTTATAGATTAACTGACCATAGGTGAGTGGGTTTATTTCTGGGCTTTTGATCCTGTTCCATTGATCTATGTTTCTGTTTTTGTGCCAGTGACATACTGTGCTAATTACTGTAGCTTTGTAGTATAATCTGAAGGCAGGGAACCCGTTTCCTCCAGCTCATCTTTTCTGTCTTAAGACTGCTCTGGCTACTCAGGGTCTTTTGTCTTTACATACAAATTTTTTTGTTCTAGTTCTGTGAAAGATGCCATTGGTAACTTGGTTGGGATTGAATTGGATCTGTGGATTGCCTTGGGTAGTGTGGTCATTTTGATAATATTGATTCTTCCAATCTAAGAACAGGGTGTATCTTTTCATCTGCTCCTGTCTTCTTTGATTTCTTTCAACGCTGATTATTCCTAATCCCCAAAGCACTGGTTCTCAACTGGTTGCACATAGAATCACCTGGGAACCTTAAAACAAAGTCCTACCCCTCAGGCCACTCCACTTGGATGACCTCAGTGATGGCAATTTTAGAGCCCTGGTGGGCCAGAAGCCAAACTGAAGCGCATGAAGTGATCAGGGGGTGATGACAGGTTAGTGATAGGCAGAGGCAGCTCCTTGGGGAGTGGAGGAGTGAGTGGAGAGGAGGGAAGAGGCAGGCATGGAGGATGATGAGTGGGATATACAGAAGGAAGACAGAAGTGAAAGGAGATACTTGGGTGGCTGGGTTTGAGAAGCTGGAAGAGGAGTGACTTACAAGACAATTTAGAGATTATGAGGGACACGTGGCTTGCGAGCTGGGCAGAACCTGGTGGGTGTGAATGTGGCTTTGCTACTTTCAGGGCGAGTGAACTTGAGCTCAATCCTACCTGTCCCGTTGCTGTAAGGCGGTAAGGATGACAAGAGAGAAAATACATAAGCACTGAACGTGGGACCTCCTACATGGCTAGCATCAGTAGAGAGCAGCTACTGCTGTCCTGGAAGCCAGCCAATCACTGACAATAATAGCCTCATCCTCAGGGCCACGGGGTGACACTCCTGCTGTCTCAGCAGTGAAAACCAGAGCAGTGATGTTCCCGTAACGATAAGAGTGATGGTACACAGGACTTTTTGCACACAACAAAGTTTATAGATTTTTAGGTTCCTATTTTCTCCAGGAGGTAGAAAAAGCTAAGGTTATCTGTTGAGAGTGAGACAGGAGGGGACTGGTTTGAATTTGAGCCCAAGTCTCACTGAGCTGTCTTCTCTTGTCTTGCAGCCCAGAATTCGCTTGGAGATCATCCATTGTACGTTTTCCCTAAAGATAAGCTGGTGGAAGAGGGCTCGGATGTCACCATTTGTTACATTTCTAGGAACCATCAAGATAACATATCCTGTTATTTGGAAGATGTACTGACATTTGGAAAACAACTTGATCAAAGTGTATGGGCATTCGAGTTGAAGAACATTTCTTTTCTTAGGAAAACTGGGACCAATTTCTATTGTCAGGGCCAAGGTGTTCCAGAGGGCGTCGTTCTTTTTGTCTCAAGTGAGTGGACCCATTCTCTGTGCCCACCCCCCTTCCCATTTCCCGTGGAAGAGATCAAATCTCCTTTCCCAGAAGAAAGATTTCTACTTGTGGCCTCAGTTGACTTTTGTTTTCCCAAGCCTTCTAGGAGAATCTCTGTCAAAGATGCTCTGAAGCAATACTTGTCGGATTTCCTGTTGTGTTCTTGAGCTCACTGAAATTTTAGTCCTAGAAATCGAGTGATAAAAAGGAGAAAGTTCAGGTCATGACCTGGACCGCTGAGATAATATCCGGCCCTGTGTGAGCCACGCTGGAAGGACCACAGGATGGTGGGGCGGGGAGGAGAGAGGCTGCAGGCTGGAGGGCCCTAGAGAGGCGGCGAAGGTCATGTCAGAAGACCCGGGTTTGAATCTTCTTCCCGTGGCTGGGTGCGCCGTCTTGGCCAAGTTTCCCCTTCTGTGAACAGGTCTACTAATGGCTGCTGTGAGGATCACAGGAACACGGGCAGGGCTGTATGATCAATAGCCACACACACAGGACTTCAGCAGATGAGGCCTTTACTGCTCTTAACTGGGCGGTGAAGGGGAGAGGAGGCAGCGTTGTATTTCTCTTGTCGATCTGTGTATGCTACCCNACAGGTCTAGTAATGGCTGCTGTGAGGATCACAGGAACACGGGCAGGGCTGTATGATCAATAGCCACACACACAGGACTTCAGCAGATGAGGCCTTTACTGCTCTTAACTGGGCGGTGAAGGGGAGAGGAGGCAGCGTTGTATTTCTCTTGTCGATCTGTGTATGCTACCCCCGGCCTGCCGTGGCCTCCTGATTTGTCTTGAAGCCTCTGCCCTCCCCCCACACAGTGAGGCAGCACCTGCAGCTCCTCCCTGCCTGCTTTCCCTGCCGCAGGCCGTCTCCGGGCTCCGGGACGCTTGCTCACCCATACCCCTTGTGTGTCCCCTCAGAATAGCAGTGCCTCGGGGACTTGGAGATGCCACGTGTACTTTCCTTAGAACTCAGCCTTCAGCCGCTGAAGTCAGCAAGTTCCCCAGATCTGGCTTCCTGGCCTCCTAAGCACAACCCAGGTTCTCGAAGCCACAGCATCCAACACGAAACTACCAGGCAACACGGACTCCATTCATTCATCACTTTGCTCATTCTCTCTGTGCATCGCCAGACTGCTGAGTGCTTACTGGTCAGCTCCGGGGCTACCAGTGCAGACCTCATACAGTCACTCCTGCTGTCCCTGGTGACAGCCCAGCAAAGCACCAGGGAGGGAAGGAGAAAGGGCCAAGATGAGGTACCTGAATGTGACTTTCTGGAGCTGCTGATGCGCTGGCCTCTGTTGAAGTAAACTTTTCAGTGTTCAGAGCAACTCTGTGGCCTCAGATCCCCAAGAGAGCTTTCCATTTCCGTTGTGTTTCAGCAAAGGGCTTCTGCTCACTGTTTCTTCTGCTTTTTCTTTGTATGGACAGAAGTGCTTGAAGAGCCCAAGAACTTTTCTTGCGAAACCCGGGACCTGAAGACTTTGACCTGTACTTGGGATCCCGGGGATGACACTGGTTTGATTCAACTGCCTTCCTACACTTTATTTGAATCGTAAGTGAGCTCTGGTTGCATTGGTGACAGACTCTCCCTTGTTTGAGGTGCTTGTGACAACATATCAAAAATTTTCAACAAATATTTTCAGACCACCTTGCCAGGGTCAGAAAGAAATCCTAAGGGGGTCACTTTCTATCCAAGTTTTGGGAAAGGAAAGTGGAGCATAAAAATAATAAGACCGTTAGTTGCCAATCTTGCTGTGAAATAACTCCATATGGTCATCTAGATTTACCTAATTTCTAACTTTTTAAGAGTACCCAAAGTAGTAAACTAAGGAAAGTTTTCACAACCCACGAGGGGAAGTCAGCAATTCATCCTTATATATTTAACCACATAAATCAAGTTTTTTGAAACAGTATTTTCATTGTCAGTATTTGCTTGTGATGGATCGATGCTGTTGTGTGGAACATAGTTTGAAAGCCACTGAATGTGTCCCCCCAAGGGATTCAGGGACACACATCTGTGTTGACAAAAGTGTAAACCCTGAAATTGTTGTGTGTGTGTTTTTTTTCAAGATTTTCCAGGAAAAAGACACTTTGTAAACACAGAAACCGGTGTGATTGGCAAGTAACTCAAGACTCACAAGAAATGTATAACTTTACACTCGTGGCTGAAAACTACTTTAGAAAAAGAAGTGTCAGTATTCTTTTTAACCTGATCCATGGAGGTGAGACTTTAGTGTAGCTCACTGTGGTCACTGGCATAGCTTTGTTTGATACACTGTGTGATCAAGTAAATGTGCTAGAGATTTCTGCCTAGTTCACATCCTAAGTGAAAGTTTTAGTTTGTAACTATTGTTCATGCCACGCTTCTCTTCCTGGGTGCACGCATGGCCCATGGTCCCCATTATTTGTTTCTGTTGATGATGTAAGAAATGCCGAGGAGCTTACCTCCCGTTTAAACTAGAAATCTGACAATAACTTATGTTATCTCCCATCCCACAGCCCCCTGTCCCACTCCTTCCACTAAGGAAATGACAGATTTATTTTGTGTATGCTTGTGGATGTATTCTCATTTCTTATGAAATTCTGTTTTTATTTTGTTTTAATGCACATCAGAGACATTAAGCTATATGTAATAATCCTAGTAATTGTTTTTATATAATATTACATTGCTAACACTCATATTATTCAGTGGTGTTGTAGTCCATTTGGTTTCACTGCTATAAAGTATTTCATTGTGTAAATATACAGTATTTTATTCATGCATCTCCTTTGATGGGTTTTCAGATTGTCTCAAGGTTTATGCTCTTGGATACAGTGTTAATAAGAGCATTTTGATATATATATCCAGTAAACACCAATAATTGTTTTGTTTTGAGTGTATACCTGTACCTAAGAGTAGAATTGGTGAGGACTCAGAAAATGTAAATGTTCAACTTACAAGATAGTGCCAAATTCATTTCCAAAGTGGTTGTAGCAGTGTACTCTCTCCAAATCGGTATTGCCGCCAATTCATTTTTGAATTGTTGTCATTTCATTTTTGTCAGTTGAATGAATGGAAAGTGGTATTTTGTGATGATTTTGATCTGCACATCTCTGAAGCTGGATATCTCTGTCTATGTTTTGATTACACCCCCTCTTTTATGAAATACAGAATCTTTAATCATGCTGTTCATTTTTTCTGGAATGCTTGTCCTTCTTTTACCTTCTTAATTCTACACATCATTTAGATTTCAGTTTAATTATCACTTCAGTCAGTCCACTAATTACAGGGTGATGCCAATCCAGTAGGCACTTCAGATCCAGCTGTGAACAGAATTGAGTAATTGCCCCTAATGAGTATATGTGCTGGGGGAGAGGGTGGAGAGGGGGGTGTGGAGACACACAGTAAATATATAAACAAGTTAATAGCATAACTCCAAGCATTGCTAGGTCCTGTGAAGAAGATAAAATTGAGGTAGGAGGGTAGAGAATGCCTGGGGTGCTGCTTCAGTTGGGATGAGGGCACTGAAGGGTGCAGAGGCAGAAAACCTTTAGAGCATTTGGAGCAAAAGGAATGAGTTAGAAAAGGTCTCGGAATGGGAACGTGCTCTAGGTGTTTCAGGGACAGAAAGAACGTCCTGTGTCTCTCCTGTGAGAGAAGGGAGATTGGAGTGGTGGGCAATGGCCAGGTCACACAGCGGCTCTGGAAGGGGGTAAGATGGAAGGTGCTTTTATTTCAAGATATTCAATTAATATTTTTCAGTTCTAAAATTTCCATTCTTTTTTAAAACTAGTTTTTTCTCCACTAAGAAGTGTTTTCCTTCTGTTCATTTCAGGTGCATTTACTTTTACCTCATGGATCTGTTTTAAAGTCTTTATCTAATCATTGTAGCTTCAAGGGAGTCATCTTGATGCATGAGTCATCTCAAGGTTGATATCTGTCAACTGACTTTTCCCTTTGAAATTGGTGGCATTTTCTGTTTTTTTGGTTTTGTTTTGTATGTCAAATGATTTTGGATTCTATTCAAATCCAAATAGATTGTTGTTAAAGTTGTTAAAGTTACTTTGTTAAAATTACTTTGGCTAGACTCTAGATTCTGTTATATTCTCTTTGTTGGGCCACCTCTCCAAGTTTCAACTCCCCTCTATGTTCTCCCCTGCTTTTGTTTAATTTTAAGAGTCCTCAGTTTTCTTTTTATATTTTTTCAGAGTTTCTGATATAATCAGTGAGAGAGAAAGGCTGTAGTTGGCTTACTCCATCTTAGCTGCAAGTCTGCTTTTATTTGTTATTTTCTCGAAAATAAGCAGAAGTGCTTATTGAGTAAATCATTGAAAAAATGAAGTGCCTATTTACCAAAGTCTTTTTGGATCTGTGCTTGAGTTTTTTTATTTTTTAATTTATTTTGGCAGTTCATCCAGTGGCTCCCTATAACTTATTCCCCAAAAATGTCAGTGCTACAAATGCCACCATGACCTGGAAGGTACACTCAATAGGAAACAATTCTGCACTTTTGTGTCAGCTTCAGCTCCTTGGTGAAGGAAAAGTGATACAAGTAAGAGCTTAACTTTCTATTTTCAAAAATTTCTTTATGTCTGAACAGAGACTAGTGAATATAAAATCTCTTGAAATTTTTATTTCTGTGTGGGTTCAAATGGAAGGGATCATCTGTTTACAAGGTCCAGGAATATTACTCAACTACTAAAAGGAATGAGAAACGCTGCGCTGGAAGAAGCACAAGCTGGAATCAAGATTGCCGGGAGAAATACCAATAACCTCAGATATGCAGATAACACCACCCTTATGGCAGAAAGTGAAGAGGAATTAAAAAGCCTCTTGATAAAAGTGAAAGAGAGTGAAAAAGTTGGCTTAAGACTCATTGGAAAAGACCCTGATGCTGGGAGGGATTGGGGGCAGGAGGAGAAGGGGACAACAGAGGATGAGATGGATGGATGGCATCACTGACTCGATGGACAGGAGTTTGGGTAAACTCCGGGAGTTGGTGATGGATAGGGAGGCCTGGTGTGCTGCGAGTCATGGGGCTGCAAAGAGTCGGACACGACTGAGCAACTGAACTGAACTGAAAAGGAATGAAAGTGGGTCATTTGTAGATACATGGATGAACCAGTCTGTCATACAGAGTGAAGTGAATCAGAAATTGGAAAACAATTATCATATATTAATGCATAGTGTGGAATCTAGAAAATGGTGCAGATGAACCTATTTCCAAGGCAGAAATAGAGATGCAGACATAGAGAATGAACATGTGAACATGGGGGTGAGGGGAAGGAGGAGTGGGATGATTTGGGAGATTGGGATTGACATATATACCCTTACTATGTATTAGGTTGGTGCAAAAGTAATCATGGTTTTGCATTGTTGAATTTTACTGTTTGATATTAGAATACATTCTTAAATAAATGTGGTTATGATATGCATCATTTTAACATGCACTTCTCACTTTATGTTTTTTGCTAATGACTTATGACTTGCTATTTATTTTATATTTATTTTAGACCAGGGAAATGATGTTAGACAAAAAGCAAATTCAAGCGATTTTCTTATTAGAGCTCAAAATGGGCCATAAATCAGCAGAGGCAACTTGCAACATCAACAATACATTTGGCCCAGGAACTGCCAACAAATTAGCGCCGTGGTGGTTCAAGAAGTTTTGCAAAGGAGACAAGAGCCTTGAAGATGAGGAGTGCAGTGACTGGCCATAGAAAATTGACATTGACCAATTGAGAGGATAATTTTTGTTGTTGTTGTTCTTTTTTTTTTTTTTCCATTTATTTTTATTAGTTGGAGGCTAATTACTTTACATCATTACAGTAGTTTTTGTCATACATTGAAATGAATTAGCCATGGATTTACATGTATTCCCCATCCCGGTCCCCCCTCCCACCTCCCTCTCCACCCGATCCCTCTGGGTCTTCCCAGTGCACCAGGCCCGAGCACTTGTCTCATGCACCCAACCTGGGCTGGTGATCTGTTTCACCCTAGATAATATACATGTTTCAATGCTGTTCTCTTGAAACATCCCACCCTCGCCTTCTCCCAGAGTCCACAAGTCTGTTCTCTACATCTGAGTCTCTTTTACAACTACAGGAGAAGTTGCCAAAGAGCTCAGTGCTGACCATTCTATGGTAATTCAATATTTGAAGCAAATTGGAAAAGTGAAAAATCTCCATAAGTGGGTGCCTCATTAACTGACCAGAAATAACAAAAATTATCATTTTAAATTGTCATCATTTCTTATTCTATGCAAAAACAATGAACCATTTCTCGATTGGGTTTTGATATGTGATGAAAAGTGGATTTTATATGACAACTGGTGATGACCAGCTCAATGGTTGGATCTAGAAGAAGCTCCAAAACACTTCCCAAAGCCAAACTTGCACCAAAAAAGAAGGTCATGGTCACTGTTTGGTGGTCTGCTGCCTGTCTGATCCACTACAGCTTTCTGAATCCTGGCGAAACCATTGCATCTGAGAAGTATGTTCAGCAAATCAATGAGGTGCACTAAAAACTGCAATTCCTGGCATTGGTCAACAGAACGGTCTCAGTTCTTCTGCACGAAAATGTTTGAATGCACATTGCACAACCAGTGCTTCAAAAGTTGAATGAATTGGGCTATGAAGCCTTGCCTCATCCACCATGTTCACCTGACCTGTCGCCAACCAGCTACCACTTCTTCAAGCATCTCAACAATGTTTTGCAGGGAAAACGCTTCCACAGCCAGCAGGAGGCAGAAAATGCTTTTCAAGAGTTTGATGAATCCCAAAGCACAGGGTTTACGCTCCAGGAATAGCCCAACTTATTTCTTATTGGCAAAAATATGTGGATTGTAATGGCTCCTATTTTGCTTAATAAATATGTGTTTGAGCCTAGTTATAATGATTTAAAATTCATGGTCTGAAACCACAATTACTTCTTCAGCAACCTATATAGAATGACTAGTGAGAAGCTGCTATATAGCACAGGAAGCTCAGCTCAGTGCTCTGTGATAACCAAGAAGGGTGGGATGATATGAGGTGGGAGCAAGGGCCAAGAGGAAGGGGATATATGTGTGTGTGTGTGTATATAACGTTAGGTATAGATGATTCATTTCATTGTACAGCAGAAACTAACACAGCTTTGTAAAGCAATTCTATTCCAATTTTTAAAAAAAGATCCAGGAAATTAATCATAAACTTTTAGAATTCAGAGATATTTTTCCTCAAAGAACTAGTTGTACTTCAGGTCTAGATGTTCTGTGTGTGATTTGGCTTTACAATAAAGTGTGCTCACCAGTACTTCTGTCTTCTTCTTCCTCCCACCTCATCTTTCTTTCTTTCTTTCTCTTTTTTTTTTTAAATCAAGCAACACAATATCTCCGTCAGGGTGAATGGTGAGTACCTCTTAAGTGAACTGGAGCCGGACACAGAATACATGGCCCGTGTACGCTGTGCTTATGCCGACCACTTCTGGAAATGGAGTGAATTGATTAGCCAAAATTTCACCACAGCTGAAGCTGGTACGTTCAGCTCCCTGACATCCCAAGAATCTAAACTGACTGACAGGAGATGGGTGGGCTTCCCTGAGAACTTCTGCTTGTACCAAAAACTCAGGGCAAAGTATTACAGCAGAGGCTGAGTACCATCTTTAAAAAAAAAAAAAAATGAATTTAATGCCTAATGAAATGTGGGTGGAAAGACATCTACCTCAGACATTTATTTGCCAAGTTATTTCTACTGAACATTTTCTCTGGGATTTTTAGTTTTCCAAAATGGTTTCTAAGCTCCTGGTATTGCTGGATTCCTGTTGGAACTGGGGCTCTGTAAATAAGTATGAACTTTTCATTCAGGACTGGGGACAAACAGTAGCATTTGTGCTGAGGAAAGCACTGATCTCATAGAAAACAGCCTGGGGCTGTGTTTGGAAAGGTAGTTATCTGGAAACTTAATCATCACTGTTAAGTCGTTCCAGTGACAGCAAACTGCGAGCCTTCTCTTGATGCTCTCAGAGGTTGTTTCCTCAATAATGACTGAACAGAGAGTTTTCCTCCCAAATAACAACGTTTTAGACCACAAGTATTGCCCAGGAGATGAGGCGGCCCAGCCCTGCATTCATCTCCTTCCAATCCCACATAATAGTCATACCATTGTGCAGTTAACACAGGAGGCAGCCCGGGCCCCTAGACTGGGGAGACGCGCCTAGTTTGCAGTTAATGAGCAGCAGAGACACAAGAGTAACCAGAGCACAGAGTGTTTAGTGTGTGCCAGACGCCACGCCAAGGGTTCCCCGTGTTTTCCTCAAATCCTCCCACCCCGTGCAGCAGGTCCTCTTAAGTCTCCTCACTCAGTGGGTGAGGCCCGGGGTCACCGGGAGGATGAGGACTTTCACAGGCCCCGCCAGCAAGGGGCCCGCTGACTCCAGAGCTTCCCCCTCACCCAGACGGCAGGCTGCCTGGTGTGCCTCTCGGGGGTGTTATTACAGCATGGAGAGCTTGTGGATTCAAATCTGGGCTGTTTTGCTGCCTAAGGAAGGATTATATATATTTATTTGATTCCATCTTGTTATTCCTGTCTGTATGCTGTGGAGTTTTTTCCTGTTTCAGCCTGGCAGGGACCTTTTAAAGCGCTCTGACTGAGGGGGTAGCGAGAGCAGTGCCCCAAAAGCCACACCTGGGCTCAGAGGTGCTCAGTGGCCTGTTCCCCTCTCAGCCCCTTGAAGAGCCCAGTCATTTTGTTCTAGTCGTATAGACCCCCCAAGAATCCCTGGGGCAGAGAACCCTGTTCCTGATGGTAATATGGTGTATTCCTCAGTTGTGGCCTTCCCAGGTGGCTCAGTGGGTAAAGAATCCTCCTGCAATGCAGGAGACACAGCAGATGCGAGTTCAGTCCCCAGGTCAGGAAGATCCTCTGGAGAAGGACATGGCAACCCACTCCAGTATTCTTGCCTGGAGAATCCCGTGGACAGTGGAGCCTGGTGAGCTATAGTTCATAGGGTCGCAAAGAGTTGGACACAACTGAAGCAACTGAGCAAAGAAGATTTGCTTTATCCTAATACTTTATACTTTAATATTGCTTCGCTTTGGGATTAATTTTTGCAAGTGTATTCCAAAATTATGCCTAAAACTTAGTGGAAAGAAAAAAACTTTGCTTTTTTTTTTTTTTTAGTATTTTTGGTAACTAGTTTTTTAGATTATGATATCGTAAGTCTGAAAATGCTTAACTTTGCTTTTGCAAAGTTAAAATCAGTTGAATCTACTGATGGTGAACCTATATTTTTTCAACTCTGATAACACTTTGCTCAATGCTGGCAGAGTCAGTGTTTGTATGTATTATAATCCTACTTAAGCAGAGTCACGGTGAGCAGAGATAAATGACCCCATGGGGAGATACTGTAGTGACATAAATATGGATGGAGCACCATCAGCTGTGCTGCTCTTCTCTTTTCATGCAGGTGGTCACGTACAAACCAGCAGCGGAAGATTCTGCCCTGAGCTTGAGGCCTCGTATGGTGCCTGAGTTTTTCAATACGTTTTTGACTTAATATTGGCGTCTCTGATGGCTAGTTTAGCAAATTGAAATCTGTCTCTTAATAGATTTTAAAAATATATGACCACCTTTATGTTTTGCTAGAAAGTGTTAGCAACTACAGGGGGTAAAAAAAAAAGGAGTCTCTTCAATTTCAAAGATCTCCCTGGTGGCTCAGATGGTAAAGAATCTGCCTATAATACAGGAGACCTGGGTTCAATCCTTGGGTCAGGAAGATCCTCTGGAGAAGGGAATCGCAACCCATTCCAGTATTCTTGCCTGGGGAATCCCATGGACAGATGATGAGCCTGGCCGGCTACCATCCATGGGGTGGCAGAGATTTTAAAAATATACAGTCACCTTCATGTTGAATAGGAAGTGTTAGCAACTATATGAAAAAATTTTTTCATTTTTTAAAAAAATTCGGTTGTTGGGGACCGTAAACTGTATTTTCATAAAGCAGAGAATTAAAATTTTATGTTGCAGAACAGTTTCTTCTTGCACAGAGATATGTTGAATCCAGTCATAAATCACTGGTCTACAGTTTAGTGGCAAGAATAACAAGGAGGCAAGGTCTTCTAGAACAGAGTGGGGAGAGGCGGGCAGGGGGAGTTTTGCAGCTGGTGCCCCGAGGGCCCACACACAGGGAGCTGCCCCAGGCTCAGGCCAGGAAGTGGGGGACGGGCGTGCATGGGGAGGAGGGGGACAAGGAAGGGGTCCCAGGCTCTGACCGCAGCCAGTGGCCGCCAGTGTAGTCAGGAGAACGGGGCTCCGCTTGAGGGTATCCAACTGCAGCCTCCACCAGAGGGGCAAGGAAGTAGCAATGGTTTGCTGTGCCTAGAAATTCTAGAAATGGGAAATTCACCTAACTAATCTAGCATTGGACTGATGCAGGATTCTTGCCTAACTCACCCCCTAGCATTGGACTGATGCAGGGTTCCAAAATTCCTTGGTGGTTTCTAGAAGCTCTGAGGCTTGAGTTTCACAAAGGCCCCCATGTCGTGTCCCATTCCGATGTAGCAGCCCTTTTGTAAACCACCTACTGTGTGCCTGCCCCTCGTGAGGAGTGAACAGTGTGGCCACGGCCAAGTGGGTAGATATCACAGAGAGTGAAAAACCGAGATGCAGGCCTCAGGTCGGACTGGCCGTGGTCACTTTACTGATCGAATTAGAGGAAGGTTGAAAGTATTGTTCTTCGTCCGTGTTGTGACCCAAGAGCTTTCCTTTGGTTAATTTCAGCTCCATCGGAGGCGCCTGATGTCTGGAGAGATGTGATGTTTGTGTCAGGACATCCAACGGTGACCTTGTTCTGGAAGGTAAGAGGCCAGAGGTTCAGAAAGACATTTTTGCTTGTCATGTACTTTTCACCAAGACTAGATACTGATGTAGTCTTTCGATTGGGAGGGCTCTTCCCAGGAATCCACTAGAATTTCTGACCTGGTCGGGGAATCCCTGCTCTGCATCCATACCCCTAACCACTGGACCAGTGCCTCCTTCCTCGGCAACCTCTTGCTTTGCCTAGGTGGCTGGTTTTGATGGTTTGAACTGCATCTCCTAACTTCCCCGCAGGCCTGCCCCTAACATCTGCAGGGCCCAGGGCGTGAGAAGTGGAGAAATATATACCATATTTAAAAATTATGAATATTTATATTTGAAAGTTATAAGTCAAGCTAAAAGATTGTGACAGAAATCAATTTAATCCTTCTGTGTTGACTAACATGCCTTCATGACAACATGGAAGGCCTGGTTTGTGTCGAGATGGTGGTGGTGGTGATTAAGTCGAAAAGTCGTGGCCAACTCTTTTTGATCCCATGGACTGTAGTTCACCAGGCTCCTCTGTCCATGGATTTCCCGGCAACAATACTGGCTATGCTGTGCTGTGCCTAGTCACTCAGTCGTGTGCGACTTTGCTACCCCGTGGACTGTAGCCCTCAAGGTTCCTCTGCCCTTGGGGACTCTCCAGGCAAGAATACTGGAGTGGGCTGCCATGCCCTCCTCCAGGGGATCTTCCCAACCCAGGGATCAAACCCAGGTCTCCTGCATTGCGGGCAGATTCTTTACCATCTGAGCCACTGGGGACGCCCCACTCAGAGCTCTTGAATTCCTCGTGTTTAGTGCTAAAGCATGGCCATGCTGGGGGAGCTGGCCCCCAGCCAGAGCCCACCCCACTTTTCTTCCCACCTCCACTCTGGTCCTCCCCATCAGGGGGCAAGTTCGCACACGTGTGGATGCGCCAGTCTATATGGGCAGGTTCTGTCCACACACCCCGAGCCAACGGCTGCCCCAGCCTGATCTCAGGTCTGGGGGTGCACACATCAGGGGCACCATCTGGCTGGGGGTTCAGGCCTTGGGAGTGGGCTTAAGGTTGTATTGACAGAGAATTCTTTGCAACCTGGAGGATCATCTAAAAGAGGGACCGTGGGCCCTGAGTCTGGGGAAGCACAGCTTGGGGGCAAGGGGGTGACCCAGGTGGTGGAGGGAGGCATTCCAGGAGCCCAGCCCCCTCCTGTCTGGGGTTACTCCTGTCTTCCCTGCTCTACTCATTGTGGTGGTGGTGGTTTAGTTGCTAAGTCGTGTCCGACTCTTGCAACCCCATGGACTGCAGCCCGCCAGGCTCCTTTGTCCATAGGATTTCCTAGGAAAGAGTAGTGAAGTGGGGAGCTATTTCCTCCTCCGGGGGAATCTTTCCAACCCAGGGATCAAACCTGCATCTCCTGCATTGCAGGCAGAATCTTTACCAACTGAGCCCGTACTCCCAAAGTGTGTTTTAATCCAGGCTAAATAACCCCCTTCCTCTCAATTCCTTAATTGGTCACCCTTTGGACATGATAGGACTTCCCTGGTGGCTCAGACGGTAAAGCGTCTGCCTACAATGCGAGAGACCTGGGTTCAATCCCTGGGTTGGGAAGATCTCCTGGAGAAGGAAATGGCAACCCACTCCAATATTCTTGCCTGGAAAATCCCATGGACAGAGGAGCCTTGTAGGCTACAGCTGATAGGGTCGCAAAGAGTCGGACATGACTGAGCGACTTCATTTTGGACATGATATGTTCCTAAGCTCACCCCCAAATGATCCTATTCTCTACTCAATTTTAGTTAAAATAGAATGTCTGATTTCAAGTGTGGTTTATTTAGAAGGTTATTTTCTGTCTTAAACTGTTTTAATTTCCTGTGTGTGTGTGTGTGTGTGTGTGGATAAGGCAATCAAAGGAGAGAAAAGATGAGAAAGTAATCAAGCAAACTCTCATTCAGAGGGAAGCCCATGTTGAAATGATTGTCCATATTTTTTTCAGCCTCTATCAAAAGTGCATACCCACGGGAAGATCCTGTTCTATAATGTCGTTGTAGAAAATCTTGATGAAGCATCCAGTTTAGAGGTGCTGTCTGTCCCTGCTCCGGCCAACAGCACAAAAGTAACCCTCAATCAGAGCTCCTACCAGATCCACGTCACGGCTCACAACAGTGTGGGCCCTTCTCCAGCTTCCACAGTTGCCATTTCTGGACATCCTGGAAATGGTGAGTTTCTTTGGTCTTGTTTTTCTTCTCTAGGAACATGTTGATGGTGGTATTTGGTAGATATGGATATATTGGAAAGCGTAGTTTGGAGAGACAGAAGGTGTAGCTACCAAACACTGTCATTTTCTTTGGGTCCAGGCATGTCAGCGGGTTTCTGGGACGGTCCTCCTCAGTGTGGGAAGATTTCAGCCATGGTTCAAGACATTTCCCTTCCAGGGATTCTTCCACTGATTTGGGAAGTTATCTCAAGTTTTATTCAAATAAATGCAACACAAACAAATAGTCCTAACAGAGTTAGAGTTGGTATGAACATGCTTTGTGGCTTATGGAATATGAGTTGCATTTCTTATATGGCAAAATATTTTGTCAGTCTTGGCCACAAGGAGAACTAACATCATCTTTTGAAAAGGGCTTTGCCAAAGCTGTGGAATAAATGATGATAACTAAACACTTAGCCTGTGAAAGTCCAAACAAGGTGGAAATGACCTTACATGTATAATCAATAATGGTGTTACTGTCCTTCCTGGGAGAGCTATGAATGGAGGTTGGTTGCACTAACCCTGCACCTAGTGGTATACACTCTGAGACGCTGCACACTTGGACACACCCCACAGACATCCTAAATTCATCTGTGAACCTTGCAATGATGTCACCCTTCAGTTACTGCTATAAAAATCATCAGACCCTGCTTGTGGGGTTATGTCGGGTCGCTTTATACCTGTTATTCAGATTAGGCTTACATTTAGGTTAAATGGGCTAGATTGGAGGGTGTTATTATTTTGTCTTATTTACTTTGGTTAAGAACCATCCAGTGTGTGAAGTAAGAAAAAGAAATTGGGATTGTGCCACAGAAGAAGAACTGAGGAGTTACTTGACATAATCTTTGCTTTTGAAGAACTGTATCAGAGAAGGAAGTAAATGGTTGTATTCTGTCTTTATTAGGAACAGAACAGGAAAGGTGGGCATTTCATTCACTCCTAGGGGAGCTGATAGATAAAAGAACACTACCTCCAGTGAGGCTCAGCTCAAACAACTCTGCTAAACACTATTATCTGTTTTGGGGTCATCCCCATCTGTGGGTTCCTACCCCGTCTTCCTTCCTCATGCCTCTGCCTTCAGAACCTACTCCATCCCCTTGTGAGGCTCTTTCCAGCCTTCTGATATGGTCCACATTCTTATGTCTCTAGAGTGAATAAAGTCACTGATGTGCTATGAGACAGACCAAGGATGTTCAGCCAATTCATGCTAAAGTGTGAATGACTGAAAATATTCCCTTTTTCTTTGCCTTTCCCTTCACTTCTCCAGACATATTTGCAAGGTTAGAGAAGCAGCTTGGTGAGAGTTATGCTTTAAGTTTGGGGTGAAATTATAGTCAATGTGAGTAAGTGGAAAATGTCTGCTTCAACAGGAAAGAGATTAGGGTCTCTGATGAAGAAAGACAGAGAAGCTGTGTGGGTAGGATAGACACATACCTTCGTGGGGAACCCCTGACCTCATACTTGGGGCTGCACATTTGTTTGGATGCTCCAAGTTGGATGATAATTTGGTGCTCTGGAAAATTTAATAGCACTCATCAACATTCAGCTGTAATTAGAATTGCCAGATAAAAGAAAAGATGCCTCATCAAATGTGAATTGCAGAGAAATAAGAAGTACATTTAGAGTATTAAGTCCATCCCATGTCATATTTGCTTGTGCCACACTAGCTGCCTCTCTGAACAGCTGCTTGCAGGCCCAGTCCTTGATCAGAGTCTGCTTTCACTCAACTGACCACCTGGGTCCACTGCCTTCTGAACAGTGGAAGGCTGTGGAATCAGCCTTGGAAACAGAAGTTCTCATCCTTCTAGATATAGACTGACCTGCATGAAGTCATCAGAGCTGTAGTCCACTGAGACCATCACCTTTTGTCCAATTGTCAGATGTTAGGAAGACTACCCTGGTGCATAAAATACATTGAGGCAGCATCCTAGGTCATAAGTAGTGTCGCATGCTTCCATAATCTGACTGAGTGCGTATGTGAATCATTTTTTCCTTTTTTTCTCTGCAATCACCTCAGTTTCTACCCCTAACATCTTGGAGACAGGAGTTCATTCCAGGGCAGCCAGCATTGTGTGGGGGAGTAAGCTGACTTATTCAACAGATGATTTTTGAAAATAGATCAAGTACCAGACACAGTTCTAGGTCAAAGGTCAACTACTTTTTCAGTTAAAAGGCAGAGCATAAATATTTTAGACATTAATGTAGGCATGACAATCATCATTTTCCAATCTATGTTCTCTAGCCTTTGTTTTTAACAACACTTTAAAAATCTTAGAATTGATCTTAGTAAAAACAAGCTTTTGAGGCTTGATTTGTTCCACAAGCTGTCCTGCCTGCTGATCCCTCTTAGGAGCTGATGTTTCTTTGGCTCTCTCAGGACAAGGGACATTTGAGGGGCGGGTGTGAATATTTATTGGGAGTGAGAGGTAGGAAAAACCTGATGAAAACATCCCTCCTGTCTTTATCCTAAGCCCTGTTCCAATTACAGAGGGAAGGTTTGGACCTGCTAGATACACAGCACTTTCAAGCTTATTTTCTTCTTTAGATACTTTTGCAGAATGTCTGATTAATTAAATCTGAAGCATTGCCCTCTTTGTAACATACAGAAAATGTTGAAGAAGGAAGAATTAATGGTACAGAGGATGGATTTCCCATGTCTTGGAAACCCCAATCCAGAAATGCCACAGGTTATGTTGTGGAGTGGTGTGACGGTCCCCAGAACCTGCCCTGTGTTCTCCAGTGGAAAAACCTAGGACCCACTACCACAGGCACAGTCATTAGCTCGGGTAAGAACCTTCTGTATTACCATCTCGCTCCATCCACCTGGTTCAACTAGGATTTCTGGACCATCTCAGATATTCTGTGCTCACTGGTAACTCCAAATCCCACGTGGGTCTTGGAGTTCAAGTTTTGCAGTGACGTGTCCTAGGTTTTGACCTTTATATTTACTTTTACAGAGCCATCCGGATGTAAGGCTGGATAGGTGTTTATAAGGTTCATGAATTTGTTCTAAGCCAGCAGTCCCAAATGAATAGCAAAGGAACTTTGTAACAGACGTCCTGAGCGCTTTTACAAAGGCAGAGATGTGGATTTGGAAGACATAGGAGTAGAGTTAATGGGAGTTGATTATCAACTCCTTCAGTTTCAATGCAACTTGTGGAGCTTGGTCTCTTGCCCGCCACACTGGGTTTGACTTTTCCAGGTTGCAAGTGTAGCAGTTTAAGGAGCCTAGGTTAGTGGCTTGAGCAGTGGGTTAGTGGCGCCATCTGCTGGGCACACGGTGGAGATGTGGGAATTGTCGGTCCAGAGAGTGATGGAGAAGGAAATGGCAACCCACTAGAGCGTTTTTGCCTGGGAAATCCCACGGACAGCGGACAGAGGAGCCTGATGGGCTACAGTCCATGGGGTTGCTAAAAGTAGGATATGACTTAGCGACCAACCGCCACCACTCCACCACTTGAGGGTGACTGATGAGGCCCAGTGGGGTCATTCGGGCGGCTGGCGGGAATGAGGAGTCGTCTTCCCTTGTCTTGAGCAGTGTTAGAGGTGTGGGGTGAGGACAAAGTGAGTTACTGGAAGCAGATCTTCCAGGCGCTTGCCTCTCTGGGCGGAGAAAGGGTGAGTCGCTGACGGGAGATTTAGAGTCAAAAGAGAGTTTTACATGGTTTTCTGGTTCTGGTGGAATTCTGCACCCAGTTTTGTGCACATGGATAAGGGTATTTTGAGAGCTCTTAATCGAGAGGATGATGTAGAAAACAGTCCCCCTTTGTCAGAAGTGCTGGAGGATTTCAGGGTTCAGGGAAGGAGGGAAGATGGTAGAGATGAAGGGCAGAAACTCCGAGGAGGAGGATTTTTTAAGGGGACCCAAATTCATTTTTCATCCTTTTCCTTTTCAGAGGTAAAAAGAATGTCATCCTGTGTTATTGACAATCTGTTGACTTTTCTTCTCTAGGTGCTTTTAGACCAGGGGTTCGCTACAACTTCAGAATTTATGAAATTTCTACAAAAAGGATGGCCCATTTATTAGAGAAAAAAACTGGCTATTTAGAGGAACTGGGTAAGTTTAAAGCATTTACTGTGTCCATGGGTAGACTTGTTCAGGACAACCCAGAGACTCTTTGCTTCAGCTTTAGGAAAATTACAGCATCTTTCCTAATTTTCAGTGTGCTATTTATTCTGACCATTGGGTTTTTTAAAACATTATTTTTAAATCGTAAACATAAAACATTTTCATTAAAGACAATTCATGAAATGTTATGCAAAAGAAGAGAAAACTCTTGCTGATTTTACCACCCAAGGGCACATATCCAGAGTTAATGTTTTGTGTGTGTCCTTTCTCAGTATAGGCATACACTTCTATATAAAAATCAGATCTTACTGTATGCAGTTTTGTAAAGTCCTTTTTGACTCACGTCACTAAGTAATATTTAACTTATCAGTCATTATGACTGCAAACTGCCTCATGGTTTGCATATGGCAAATCACCCATCTTTGGACTTTTAGGATGATTAAAATTTTTTTCAATTAAAAACTATAAAATTCTCCCTCAATTTTCTTGCAGTCTCTAATATTGTCTCTCTCTTTTTCTTGGCCAAATCCCCTTATGCCTTATCTGACTCACCATCATTTTAGCTGAATCTTTGTCCATTGCTCTGATAATGGTTTTCAAATAAAGTCCTAGAGGTAGACGACTTGAACCAGAACGTTTGAACTTCTCAAATACAGTTTTACAGTTTTTAAGACTTTTGGCAGATATACTGTGAAATTGCTGCCCCTTTCAGGCATTGTACTTTAATTCCACCAGCAACGTGGGCAAGTTTTGATCCTCTCGTGTGGTTGCTTACTTAGCTTCTTGGCATCCAGGGTCTCACACCCGCTGGGAGCTGGGCGGCTGGGTCCTTGGTTACCTTGCATCAATTGGACCAGCTCTCGGTGTTCTCCATTGAGTGGGTGCTGTCCCAGACAGGCAGGAGGGGTGTTTCTGTGTGTGTTGGCGGACATAGGCCAGGCATGCACTAGCCTATGTGCTGAAACAGACTCAGGGCAGCCTCAGAATAAACTCTTCCCACACTTGGACTGGGCCTTCCCAGGTGGTGCTAGTGATGAAGAACCCTGCTATCAAGGCGGAGACCTAAGAGATGTGGGTTCAATCTCTGAGTTGGGAAGATCCTCTGGAGGAGGGAATGTGGCCCACACCAGTCTTCTTGCCTGGAAAATCCCATGAACAGAGGAGCCTGGTGAGCTAAGGTCCATAGGGTTGCACATAGTCAGACATGACTGATGCGACTTAACACACACACACCTACACTTGGACAACTGTGTGTTACCACTGCCTGGGAACTAAAGCTCTTCAAAGCCACCCTGACCTCTTCAAACATAACCCTTCCTCCTCCTCCCTTCACCCCACATCAGTTCATTTTCCCAACACTGTTTAGAATTCAGGCATGGAAAAAAGTCTAGGGAAGCCTTTATTTTCTTTTTTGCTGTGTGACCTTGCACAAGTTATTGAATCTCTCTGGGCATCCATTTCTACTTCTGGGAGAGGCAAGGCTTGAATAAGACGAAGCTTGTTTCTTCCCAGCTCTCACGAACAAAATCAGAGAAAAAGATAAGAGTCCTTCACTTGGTGTAAGCACCTCTAGAGTGGGCTGTGGTTCTACCTTCAATTTACATGAATGTTCTGAAACTGCTTCCAAATTGTGACTCTTACGTTATTGCAACTTCCTTTCTTAGCTCCTTCATACAACCCTCAAGTGGTCCCGAATAACTTGACCTCCCACTCCTTCACTCTGAGTTGGAAGGATTATCCCACCGAATCTCAAACCGGTTTTATACAAGGGTACTATGTCTACCTGAAATCCAAGGCAGGGGAGAAGTGCCACCGGGGATTTGAAAAGACAGTTCTTCCAGGTGACACATTTTGGTTGTCTTTTAGTCTGTTTACAGTTTCAAGATCTCCTTACTTGAAACAATTGGAAAGGCTGGCAGCCATCTCTGATTGTGTCCAGGCTGATTTCTGTGCTCGCATGGTTTAATGATCTAATAGTGTCCTTAAATTAGTAGGGAAGACAGGATAATGGGGGCCAGGATTTTAACCTACTTAAAAACAATGTGGCCCAGTATTTTTAGATGCACTTGAAGTACTCCCAGCTCCTTAAGAAAGCCTACTTACTGCTTAGGAAACTTGCTTGCTAACCTCATTTCCTTCTTTTGACTTTGTTAAAGCTTATCGCAATGTACTCTAAGTAGCTCTGGCAAGCTCTTACTCTCTCTCTGGCAGATTTGCGTCCCCCCCTGAACCCCTCCCCGGCAACCCCCCCCACCCCCGTCACCAATCAGGAATAGCCCTTGCTTACTGGAGTGCTCGTCTTGCTTGCCACCTGCCAAACATCTTAGTGTTCCCAGTGTGATGAAATTATGAATTCATTTTTGATTGCTTTAGAAATGTTGGCAGTACCGAGTCCACAGAAGTATTAGTGCCTGACTGTCTCACAAGATCTTTATTACACTCTTAATCATTTTTTTCTTCTTAAAAAATTAAAAAAAAAACACAGATAATTCAGTATGTTGCAAATACACAATTGACAACCCGGACCAAAAGACATTTGTCATGAAAGACCTACAGCCAGAATCTGTCTATGAGTTTTTCGTCACTCCTTATACAAGTGCTGGTGAGGGTCCCATGGATGACTTCAGAAAGGTCACGACTCCGGATGAATACTGTGAGTTTTTCCAAATCAAAACTCTTCTCTTAGGAGTTCCTGGGAAACTGACAAATGACACACACAGTTGTGGACTTTGTCTAGATCAGGAATGTTTAAACCTTTCTTCTCTGTCTTTGTCTGTCTCTAGATGAAACTCATGAAAGGAAAAAAAAAGTTACACAGAATCCCACAACATACAATAGATAAGAGTGAAGCTAATCTGACTGATCTATGACCTAGAAACTTTCTCAGTCCCAGAACAGTTTGAAAATCACAGATAGCATATTTTAGTATATCTGAGAAATAAAAGGAGAATAATTACCTAGGTTATGACTTAGGTAATTTTATCAGACCCTAACTAGAAGGGGCGCATTAGTCAGTTTTTAATGGGTCATAAAATACCTTGTGGTACTAGAGAAGACTCTTGAGAGTACCTTGGACAGCAAGGAGATCAGTCAGTCCTAAAGGAAATCAACTTTGAATATTCATTGGAAGGACTGATGTTGAGGCTCCAATATTTTGGCTACCTGATGTGAAGAGCCCACTCATTGGAAACGACCTTGATGCTGGGAAAGATTGAGGGCAGGAGGAGGGGGCGACAGAAGATGAGATAGACATGAGTTTGAGCAAACTCCAGGAGATAGTTAAGGACAGGGAAGCCTGGTGTGCTGCAGTTCATGGGGTTGCAAAGAGTTGGACACGACCTAGTGACTGAACAATGAATAACAAATACCTCCAAATCTCAGTGGCATACAGAAACAAATCTGTCTTTTCATGCTCCTGGCTTGGCTGACACAGGTTGAACCAGGTGGGACTCCAAGCTTCAGGCACGTTTAGGTTTGTTCCATGTAGTTTGTTAGTTCCCTAAGGCTCAGGTTGAAGGACAGTGGCTCTGAGGGACCAGCTCTGCTCAGAGTGCATCACAGGAACACAAGAGCAAGCCAACTCTAATAAGCACACTCAGCTCAGCTACCAGCGTGACCGCTACTCACCTCCCATTGGTCAAACCAAGTCGTGGCTGAGCCTATACGTCAAGGGGGTGGAGAACACTCATACAGAGAGGGAAGTGAAGAATGGGGAGTATTGATCCATTCTGTCAGGAGAGGAAATGAGTTTGAGCTGCAAGTATTATGGGCAAATGGATCCCTGTGTTGGCCAGTTGGTGTTTCATCACCTTGCTCCCCACCAGTCAGACAGCACTCATAGTAAATGTTGCACAAATAGAGTTTTGAGAAATAACAGACATGTAAAACTTATTCCTTTGAGGGAAAAGCAGTCACTAAAAACATCCCTTTCTTTTCCCTTCTCCAGCCCATATACTGATACACATCATTCTCCCCATGATTTTCTGCGTTTTGGTCATCATGATCGCCTGCTACCTAAAAAGTCAGTGGTAAGTGTGTGGGGAAGGTTTTATCCAAGAAGGAGAGTCAAAGAAAAATCTAGAAAGGAATTTAATAAAATAGATATCACACTGGATCATATGAGGCAAAGTGCTGGAAAGGAAAGGACAAAGGAAGATTTGGTAAAAATATGAAAAATTTTGAATAATCTTGTTTATCAACAGATGAGCTGTTGACACATCAACAGATATATAAACAATACATAAGGAAACTATTTGAAAATATTGCAACACTTGTTTAATAGCAACAGCTAATATTTGTATCTCACTTTACCATGTGCTTGGCAATGTTTTCAGTGTTTTACATATAACAACTCACTTAATCTTTCCGACACCATCACTACCATAATGATCTCCACTGAACCAGTGAGGAAATTAAAGCCTAGAAAGGTTAAAAAACTTGCTTAAGTGTTAAGGGTGATAAAGCAAGGATTCATCTGACTCCAGGTTTCTCACTCTTAACCATTCCATGCTATTGCAAAATTCAGTGTAATTTTCATTGGTTTTCCAGGTTGAAGGACAAGTGTTATCCTGACATTCCAGACCCTTACAAGAGCAGCGTCCTGTCTTTAATAAAATCCAAGGTAAATTCTGAAATAGTCTAGGGATACCATGTACTTGTTAAAGACTAACCCAGGGGTTGCGCTATAATAATCATACATTCCTAGACCTCCTCAGGAAGATATAACAAAGCAACAGCCACCTCTGCTCCCCCAGCCATGAAATGAGTGAACACAGCTTTGACTTCTTCTGTCAGGGGCTATCCTTTGGTTTTCAGCATCACCTCTAGTTAACTTGTGACCAGGATAAAACACACAAAGAAGTGAAGCTCTGAGTGCATTTCACATACTTTATATATACTGTGATACACACACACATTATCTTTGCCCATTTTCTATTTCTGTTTCAGGAGAATCCTCATATAACAATAATGAATGTCAACGACTGTGTTCCAGATGCTATTGAAGTTGTAAACAAGCCCGAAGGGAGTAAGATACAGTTCACAGGCACTAGGAAGTCACCCACAGAAACTAAAGGTACTAAGCCTGCCTATCTTGACCTGCTCCCAACAGAGAAGAACTACTCTGGTCCTGGACCTTGCATCTGCTTTGAGAACTTTACCTATAATCAGGCAGCTTCTGACTTGGGTTATTGTGGACATTTTCCAGTAACCTCTCAAGCCCCACACTGTCCGCTGGGACCACTGACTTCACCTGAAAATTTACTAAAGACACTGGAACAAAACTACATGAACTCCCTGGGAGAAATCCCAGCCGGAGAAGCTAATTTGAATTATGTATCCCAGTTGGCCTCACCCGTGTCTGGAGACAAGGAGAGCCCACCAACAAATCCACCAGAGCCAGCACTCTGTTCGGAGTATAAAATGCAAATGGCCATACCCCTGGGTCTTGCCTCCCCTCCCCCAAGTGAGAACAGCAGCCTGTCCTCCACTACCCTTTTAGATCCAGGGGAACACTACCACTAAGCTGGGTGCCCACTGCATATCCTTATGCTACACAGACACTAGCAGAAGCATAGCTGGCACTATTCCATCACCAAATACCTCGGGGCTTAATCCCAGTGAATTATCACCACTGGAAGATCTGATTTATAAAATTTTGCTAGGTTTCAAAGGTCAGAAGCTATGAAATTTAACATCTGTGCTTGGAGCAGGCTTGCTGTGGAAATGGCAGGATCGTGGGAACAGGCTTACCTTGCTCTTGTGTGTTCCACGTTCACCTTTACGGCAGCAGACCTGGCACTTGACAGAGACAGACCGCATCCACTCAGTATTGGACAGGGTGGCTGTGGTCCTTGAAGTTCAGCTTTTAGCAAGAAAGCATTTCCAGTAAGTTTTACCACACATTTCATATCTCAAGGGTAAAGGAACTAGATTTCAGGCCACAGAATATTCGTTACGGGAACATAAATTGTCAATGTTAATTTATTCTGGGTGTGTTTAATGAAGTCACATATTTGAGACCAAAACAGATTTTAGCCTTGCTTTGAAGTGGTGACAGGAGTAAGATGAACTCTTCCTATTAGACCGTATCTAATAGGTAAGACATACAATTGAACTGATGAGATCCCCACAGCTGTCCTTCTGTTGTTTACCACAGTTAAGGAGTGGGGCTGGCACAGAATCCTGCCTCAGTGTCAAGATTATAGCACTCCTACTTAGTAGACACGTCTTCTACAATTTTTGATGACTACCTCAGAATAGAAGAAAATATGTCATTAATTCCACTCACATTTTATAGTTCATTTGTTTTTTGTTTTTTTCCAAGAACTATGATATATACATGACCTGTTTTCAGTAAGCCTCTTTTGGATTCTCCAGTAGGTTGTCTGGGCCAAGATAACACCTTCACTGTCTCCTTATATTCTTCGGATGGTATAACTGTAAAGGGCCACGCAGAGTGGGAGCTCCGTAATGGCTTGCAGCCGCTTTGTCTCTTTGAACCAATATATGCAAAGCACCTACCTGTTACACAGCAGTGTTCAGTCATGCTCCAGTTCCTCTCCCTTCTCTCTGCCCGACAGCCCTTAATGTTTACTCACCATATTTCTAAATAAGCGTGATTAGGGGCTCCTTTCTCTTTGCTGTGGTGGAGACGGTGCTGCATGCGCCTCTGGTACCAAGTGCCCCGTGTCACACCGTTCCACACTATGAAGAACAAGAGAGAAGGAGCCACAGCTGAAAGGAAGATGGCTGTTAACTGACCTAAATATACACAAACCAGGACTTCTGCTCATTCTTTTCAACTTTTTCCTTCCATATAACTATGCTTTTGGCTGGAATAATGGACTATGTACGCCTAACATAGTACAAACAAGTATATTGATTAGTCTCTTTTGAGAAGACTTTGGGGCCAGTATTGTCATCATTTAGCCTCTTTGTGTCTGTCATGATGCAATTATAAAAATACATAGAAACATCAATGACAGTGATGATTGATTTGTAAGTAGTATCTTTTGTAAAGATTTTCTTTAGAAAAATAATTCACAAAACCTTGAAGTCATTTCTGTTGCTGTAAGCCTTAATTAAAATATTTCACCACCGCATTATTTTGTGTTTTCTCTACATCAGTGAATTGATAAACTCTTGTAATTGTTGTTAAGTGATAAATCATGTTCTGAGCTTACTAGAAATGTAAATTCCTAGGTGCCACTCCAAATCTCCCAACCAAAATCTCTGTGGCACAAGACCTGGAATATATCCCAGGCACTCAGATACACACTCAACTTTGAGAATCACTGACCTAAATCAAACAAAGATGTCTTTCTGAAATGTAACAACACGCCAATAGGAAATGGCTGGGTTTATATAACTTTGTCCTTACAGTATCACTATGACTCTAGTTTTGGCTCCAAACATTCCTTTCCCATGTCCACAAATAACCAAATAACAGTATTTAGACTATATGCCACTTAACAGCATTGTTTTAAGAAATTCAGAAACTTTGAAATTTGTGTCAGAATTACCAGGATTAAAAAAAAAACAAAACAACTCATGGAGAATTTCAAATAAAGATAGAAGCAGGAGTTTAACAAACCATTATGAACTATCCCCGGTAGCTCAGATGGTAAAGAATTTGCCTGCAATGCAGGAGACTCGGGTTTGATCCTTGGGTTCAGAAGATCCCCTGGAGAAGGGGATGGCAAGCCACTCCACTGTTCTTGCCTGGAGAATCCCATGGACAGAGGAGCCTGGTGGGCTACAGTTCATGGGGTTGGACAAAGAGTTGGACAGGAATGAGTGACTTAACACTACTATCATCAACCCCAATAGCCACTAAACCATGGTTGTTTTAGTCCATCCATAGTCTTATTCAGTCTTCCCCTTGATACGATTTTAAAGCAAATCATGGTTTCATCTGTAAATGTTTTTCTAAATTGGCTTTACTTTTTCTAAAATAGCCATAATACCTTTTTAATAATCACACCTATGAAAAAACAACCAAATCAAAAAATGGGCAGAAGATCTAAACAGACCTTTCTCCAAAGAAGACACAGATGGCCAGAAAGCATATGAAAAGATGCTCAACACTGCTAACTTTCAGAGAAATGCAAATCAAAACTACAATGAGGTTATCACCTCACATCAGTCAGAATGGCCATCATAAAGAAGTCTACAAACAATAAATGCTAGAGGGTATGGAGAAAAGGGAACCATCCCCCCATCACTATTAGTGGGAATGTAAATTGATACAACCACTATGGAGAGCAGAATGGAGGTTCCTTCATAAACTAGAACTAGAACTACCATGTGCTTGGGCTCCTGCTCAGTCGCTTCAGTTGTGTCTGATTCTTTGGTGCTTAGTAACTTCAGCCGTGTCTGACTCTTTGCGACCCAAAGGACTGTAGCCCACCAGGCTCCTCTGTCCATGGGATTCTCCAGGCAAGAATACTGGAGTGAGCTGCCATGCCCTCCTTCAGAGGATCTTCCCAATCCGGGTATAAAACTCACATTTGCCTGCATCTCCTGCGTTGCAGGCAGATTCTTTACCCACGGAGCCACCTGGGAAGCACTTGTGATTCAGCAGTTCTAATCCTGGGCATGTATCTGGAGAAAATCATTATTCAGAAAGATACATGCACCCCAGTGTTCACTGCAGTACTATTTACAACAGCGAAGACATGGAAGCAACCTAAATGTCCATCAACAGAGGAATGGATAAAGAAGATGTGGTACACATATGAAATAGAATAAAAAGAATGAAATAATGTCACTTGCAGCAATATGGGCGGACCGAGAAATTGTCATACTAAGTGAAGTCAGAGAAAGACAAATATGGTATCACTTATATGTGGACCATAAGAAAAAACTGATATGAGTGGATTTATTTACAAAACAAACTCTCAGACTTCAAAAACAAACTGATGGTTACCAAACAGAAAAGGTGGGGGGGATAAATTAGGAGCTTGGGATTAACATAAACACACAACTATATATAAAATAATCAACAAGGACCTACTGTATAGCAGAGGGAACTCTACTCAATATTCTGTTAATAACTTATATGGGAAAAGAATCTGAGAAAGAATGGATATATGTATATCTGAATCACTTAGCTGTACACCTGAAAACTAAGGCAATATTGTCAATCAACTCCAATATAAAATAAAAAAATTTAAAAATTAAAAACACATGCAAAACCTAGTTAGTAATATTCCATATCAATATTGGGATATTTTGATGGTGGGTAGAACTGGAAATGACCTACAAATAATGCCTCAGCCTGGTGACTGGTCCTCAGCTGCAGGTAAGTAGATGGGAAGCAGGGACAGGGAACTAGCATTACAGTGATACTGATATGGAATATTACTAACTAGGTTTTAGATGTGATTTTAATTTAAAAAAATTTTTACATTGGCATTTATTGACAATATTGTGTTAGTTTTCAGGTGTACAGCTAAGTGATTCAGATATACATATATCCATGGACCTGCTGGAAGTGCCTGCTGACATTCCAACACCTGACCCATACTAAGTCTAATGAAACTTTCTCCACTAGAATGTCATTTATTAAGAAAATCAGGTTGTATCAGACAATATCTAGTATTTCTTCTAAGAACTCTGTGGAGACCAGCTGGCTTTCATCTCAAAGAATTTATAAAACATGCTAAGCATTTTGCATAAAATAGGAATTTTAAAACCTTCAAAGAGGGACTTCCCTGGTGGTTCAGTGGTTGAGACTGATTCCACTGCTGGGGGTGTGGTTCAATCCCAGGTAAGGGAAGCAGGATCCAGCAAGGCATGACCAAAACATAATGAGAACCTTCAAAAAGATATAACTGAAAATATAAAGCCTTCAAAATTAGTAGTTAAAATAGTATTTACAATAAATATATTCTCATTTAAAGGACATTTGCTACATTTAAGCAAATGTAGTTATCTTTGTCCTCTAAGCATTAGAGAAAGTTTTCATACATTGTTTTTTTTTTTTTTTTAATCAATGCAGAATTAGTTGCTGTGGTCTGAATGATCACCTCCCTCCCCAAATCCCTACATTGAAATCCTAACACCCAGGGATGATGGTATTAATAGATGGCCGTCTTTGGGAGGTCATGAGGCTAGAGCTCTCATGAGTGTGATTGATGTACTTATAAGAGACACTAGTTTCCAATCCCATCAAGCCATCGAGGACTTAAGACAAGAGAAGTTTGGGATGTGAAGAGGGCCCTCACCCAAATGTGTTCACACTCTAATTTCAGATTTCCAGCTAACAGAATTGTGAGAAATAAATTTGTTATTTATAAACTGTCCAGTCTTTGGTATTTTGCTATTGTTTTTGTTCAGTCGCTATGTCCAACTCTTGGCGACCCCATGGACTGCAGCATGCCAGGCTTCCCCTGTCTTTCACTATCTCCTGGAGTACTTTATACACCAGAGAGTTTTAAAAAATGAAACAAACTTTCTGAAGCTCAGCTATATGGTCAGTTTTCAAAAATGAGCTGTGTGATGATGATTAAGAGTGCTTTTTAATTTGAGGGCCAACTACATTTTTGTTGAAAAACATATATAGAGAAGGCAATATGAAAATGATACACATAAATGTTTAAAAACCAAACTATCCAAAATAAATCTATTTCTGAATACATTTTACCACATTCAACCAATGATAACAGACCCTAACTTTGACACTGAATTTTATTCTCCAGGATTGACCATTTCCCTTGTGGTATTTTCTTTTGCCACTAGGTGGCTGTTGGCTAGCTTACCTGATCTAGTTTCGGTGAAAGTGAAAGTAGTTCAGGCATGTCAGACTCTTTGCGACCCTATGGACTCTACAGTCCATGGAGTTCTCCAGGCCAGAATACTGGAACGGGTAGCCTTTCCCTTCTCCAGGGGATATTCCCAACCCAGGGATCGAACCCAGGTCTCCCACATTGCAGGCAGATTCTTTACCAGCTGAGCCACAAAGGAAAGCTGAGTGAAATCGAATAGCTTACACGGAAAAGTTACCATCATACCATCATTGCTCATTTTATATATTAATCACTAAAGTTGGAATTGTTCTGAAGATAGATCTACTTTATCAAACCTTTCACAATAACCTGAGATTAAAAACTAATAACTGTGAAGACATTTGATTAGATTATGAAGGGTTCAGAAAGTATACCTATTTTAAAACATTTAGGACAAGCCACTACTCATTTGAAAAGACCCTGATGCTGAGAAAGACTGAAGGTGGGAGGAAGGGGACGACAGAGGATGAGATGGTTGGATGGCATCACCAACTCAATGGGCATGAGTCTGAGTAAACTCCGGGAGTTGGTGATGGACAGGGAGGCCTGGCATGCTGCAGTCCATGGGGTTGCCGAGTTGGACAGGACAGAGTGACTGAACTGAACTGAACTATGTGTTACTGAACCAGATTCCTATCTGTGGTATCTAAAAGTCACTTTTACCTAGAGTTACATGTAACAGCCTCAGTGGTACATAAATCTACAATGATGGTTTTAAAATTTGAAATAGAGCAATGACACAAGTTTAAGAATTTTTAAGTACATTTTATTAAGAATGTATCCCTTTGATAAGATTATGCTTCAGGAGGCTTTTAATGCCCTTGACATAAACTGTACACATTATACAAAAACAAGAAAAACCACAAAAAAAAATCAAGGTGAGCAAAACCATTTAGGGACAAACCTTATTTAAATTATACACAACTCAATGAAATATTCTTACGGAAAATATATAAATACTTTTCTTTCTATGTTACAGTTATACAATATAAATCAGATTTCAATGTCTGTTCAGTGACCTACAAATACCAGAACCTCCAAATATGTAGCAGCGTATTACTAAATAAAAAAGAAAATTATGTGGTTAGGGAGCATTAAGTCTGAGATATTTTTCACAGTCCCTTACCACTTTTCAAAACTAATTTACATCATTTGTTTTACAATGCAGCTTTAGGGTTTCTGACAGGCCAATAATGGAACATTTTTCAACTATCATCTATGAAAGTTTTAAATCTCCCCCCTCCTCTGCCCAAAGACTTTGCATTTTGTGCTAAATCAACCTATTAGTGGCAAAATTACAAGATATACTTTTT